TAATTAATATATATAGATATATGGACATTGACAGAAAAGTTCAAATAGAAGTATTATTTAAAAATGATAGTATGAGAGAAAAAACTTGTTATTGTGGTTGTAAAATTACTAAGTTAAACAAAGATGATTTTACATTAGATAAATGTAATAATGAAGAATGTAGTTTTAATCATTCCAAATTTGATGAATATATTAAAGAATTAAAAAAACAAAGGGAAGAAGAGAAATTCGACAGGCGAACACATAAGTGTTGTATGTTATGTACTCCTATTATGTGGGGGTTTTGTTGGCCTATTTTAATTCCTTTGAATATTTATTATTGTATTGTATACCTTTGAATATTTATTATTGTATTATATTATAATCTAAAATAATAATATATAATGGGTAATTCAAACAGTAATATTGAAACTTCAAGTATTGATAAAATCAATGATATTGATGTAGAACAATTAGATTTAAGTAATATTGATAAATTACAGTTGAAAGCAATTAAACAAATGAGTGAAAGATTAGAAAAACTGGAGACAATGAAATGTGACAAATTAATATATAAATTACCAGCGTTGAATTTGTGTAGTTATAGTTTGTTCTGAATTAATAATATTAAAAAAATATTAATATTATTAATTATTGTTCTGGGGTTTCTTCTGGTTGTAATGATTTTAGATAGTCAATGTGTTTTTGTGATTTATAGTGTTTTGACATCGAACCCTTACCGCATACCGAACCACATTCACAAGTTATTCTTACAGATCTCCGAGCGCATATTTCATCCTTATTTTCTATATAATATTCTTTTGCTCTTTGTATTGCTTCCTCTCTATGTTTTATATATTTATTTCTATCAATTTCTTTATACTTTTCTGGGTTTTCTTTTCTATCTTGCTTTACATATTCATTTCGCTTCTCATGTTTTTCTTTGAAATCGTCCGCGTGTCTAATAGGTTTATAACCATTTAATGATGGTTTCAATTCTTCATATAATTCTCTTTCTCGCGCGCGTGCCTCTAATTGATTATTTAACTGTTTAGTTTCTATTAATATCATTTCAAAATTGTCAAAACCATTATTATCACGAATAAATTTATATACTGGAAAGTTATATTTTCTACTATTTGGATTGTTGTAAGTTCTTTTATGCTTTGCTTTTCTTTCTTTGAAATTGGTTGTGTGTCCAATATACATATTTGGTTTATCTAAATCTTTACAAACAATCTTGTAAAAATGTGTGGTTGAATAGTCTACAGGTTTTTTAGGCATAATAGTTTATTAAGTGTTATAATAGGTTATTCTTTAAATGGTATTTATCGTGTATCAATATCGCTCGTTCAAAACGAACCATAAATACTTTATTTACATCACTCTCACGAAGTTTAACAAATAAAAAACTAAAAGGCTGGTCATTAACCGCCATTTGATATATTTTCATTAATGTTTGTTTATCTACTAATGCTGATTGTTCCATTATAAATGTATCCACCTCAGACATATTCTTTAATTTGAATATATATAAACTGCTTGTGTTCAATCTTACAATAGGTGCTAAGGCATTGTATTTTTGAACGGCTGTAATAACGGATAAACCGAAGTGTCTTGATTTTGTATATAAACCGTGTAATATTTTACTATATCGCATAAATGTTTTATCTTCTGCGAAATCATCAATTATCAGAAGACACGAAAATAATTTCTTCATTCCTATTTTCTTTTGATAATCTATAATTTTATGTTGTGTATCAATTATATTTTGTAATGCTTCAGCGTTGTATTCATCAAATAAGTATTGTTCTTTTTTATTATCTATTTTTAATTCAGTTTCTACATATTTAATAATTTCTCTATACGCTTCATCAATAGTTGCTGTTGGGGAAACGATATATATACGTTCGAAGCAGTTCCGATATACTTTTAAAACGAGGTTCTGTATAAGTATTCCTTTGCCGCCCTGTGATGAACTACAAATAATACTACGAAAGGGCAATTTGTCTGCTTTATCATATGATGGCTGTTTAAACTCATACTGTCTAACATTTATTGGTTCTATTTTTGGTGGTGAAGTATCAGGCATAATAAAATAATATTATAAATACTTATAAAATAAAAAATATAATATAATTATATCATAATGGTAATAGAATCTATTAATCTAAGTGAAGTTACTAGTATTCGGAATATATATAAATTCGGTGATGTTTTAGTTCCAGATACTGGCCAAATTTATTATGATACGATTTTAACGTTTTTATCGATGATTAATAACAAAAATATTATAATACCTAAATCATCAATCGAAAACGAGGATATCCTAAATTATAATAAATTAGTGAATTTTATGAAAGATTATCCCGATATATATACAAATGAAATGATAAATGGTGTACAAGAAATTATTAATAATAATATTCTAGATGTTAGTATATCAACTGCAGTAAAACTTACTAAAGAAAATAGTTTAAACACATATTCTATTTAATATTAAATGGAACATCGTTATGTTATGAGTGGCGGTAAATAACATAATGGAACAGGTTTTCCATTGCTTCAATCAATAAGCATTGAAGATAATTAGTTTTGTGTCTTGCTCGCGTGTGCAATGAAAACCCAAGTGCTGTGCCCCACCAATATTCTATTATGCATCAAAATAATAAGATTAAATAATTATTTTAATAATTATTTCATCTTATTATTTAATATGGATAGAAGTTATTCAGATTATATTGATATAATAGATGAAGTAGAGAATATAGAACAAGTGATAATAACTGACAATAAAATTAAAAAATGCTGTTTTTATTCATTAGAATTAATAAAATTAGGAATACAATATATCAAAAATAAAAATGTAAATAGTAATATAAATGGGAAAAAAGAAAAACAAAAAGAATAAAACAGATACTACAGTTTCTTCAACAGATGAAGACAAAGAAGAAGAAATTGTTAAAGAAACAGCACTAACCGAGTTTGAGTGTCCTATGTGTAAAAAGATGTTAGAATTAAAAAACGAACTGGAAATTCAAAAGAAAGGAAATTGCAAATGTTCTTGTGTGCCATTAGGGTTTAAAATAACTAAAAATGATAAGAAAATGAATATTGATAAAACTAAGGACAGTATCAATCTGGAAACAGATGCACATAATATTTCTATCAAATTTGGAAATGAGGCAACAATGTCAGATAATGGAGATAACGAAACTCAGGAAACTATTAAACAAATGATGAAAATTTAGTACTTAAAGAGTAGATTTTACATTAAATCAATTCTATAAATAAATATTTAAATAAATAATTATATAAATAAATATATATAGAAATGTCTGAAGTTGAGAATGATGCTATTGCTGAACTATCAAAGAAGATGATGACAGTTAGTAAAAATGTTAAACTGTTGTACGAGATGATAAAAACTATTGACGAGAAACTTGATGCAAAGGCAAACGAACCAAAAAATAGCAATGAAGAGAAGGAAAAGATTGATAAGATCTTTGAAAAGAAACAAATAGGAAGACCGTCTGGCAGTTTTCAAGATAAGCAAAAGCAATATATGGATATGTTAAATAAGAACAAAATTAAATCTCCAAAAACAGAAACTATTAAATTTTATAAACTGTTTAAGAACGAAGAAGGAAAATACGAATTAATATAATAAATATCTAAATAATTCTAATAATATGAATTTATTAGAATTATTTTCAGGCAGTGGTTCTGGGGATAATTATGTAATACCTAAGCAGGAAGATCTATACAAAATACCATCCCAATTAGTTTTGGAAATCTTCTGTAGTTTGGATTGAAACCCCCTGAAAGAAATGCCAAGGAGAAAAAGGCGATTTAATGATGTCCGCAAAGTGGCGGCCAGGGTGGCCGAAAAGTGGCGGTCAGGGTGGCCGAAAAGTGGCGGCCAGGGTGACCGAAAAGTGGCGGCCAGGGTGGCCGAAAAGTGGCGGCCAGGGTGGCCGAAAAGTGGCGGCCAGGGTGGCCGAAAAGTGGCGGCCAGGCGGCCAGGGTGACCGAAAAGTGGCGGCCAGGCGGCCAGGGTGACCGAAAAGTGGCGGCCAGGCGGCCAGGGTGACCGAAAATGGTGGGCAGGGTGCCCCGAAAATGGTGGGCAGGGTTTATGACTAGTAAAATAGTCCATAAACCTTACAATAAAAATCATTGTAAGATTTATGTTTGAAATCATGGGGATTTTATATTTTGGGAATTTGGGGAATTTAGTTTCAAGGAATATTGATTATAGGAATTTCTTAAAATGTATTTAAAGGTTTAAGGACATTGTATTATAAGAACTATGGAAGGAAACATTTGTGTTTTAATTAAAGGTAAAATGTATGAAGGAATTTTGGAAAACGGTTCATTCAAAACTGATAATGGAAAATTATGTAGAAACTGTGGTAGAATGAAACTATTTGACGAATTTAATAAAGAGAATAAACAATGCAGGCAATGTTCAGAAAACAAAAGGAATAACCGAATTAAACATAAAGATAGATACAATGAGGAGCAAAGAAAAAGATATGAAGAAGATGATGAATATAGAAATAAAACACTTGAAAGTAATAGAAAATGGAACAGTATAAAAATTCAGTGTGTTATTTGTGACTGTTATTTTTCTCAATGTTTAAAAAAGCAACATCTTAAAACAAATAAGCATAAAAGAAATTTAGAAATGAAACAGGCAGAAGAAAATTAACATTATTTTTATTAATAGATATTTTACATAAAATTGTATAAGGTTAATATGTAGAATAGCTTCTTAACCTTATATAATATTCAATGAAGTAAAATTATTTTTCAAGTAACTAGATAAGGTTAATGAATATGAATAATGTATTAACCTTATTTAATATTTGAATTATAAACCTATATTCTATATTTTGCTAAGTTGTTATGAAATTTATTTTACTTCTTTCAAAATTTGTTTTGCTATTTTTCCCCCCCCCCCCCCCGCGATTCCCCCCGCCCCCCCCGCCCCCGATTCCCCCTCTTCTCCAAGGCGCGCTCTGGGGCAGCTGCGCCAACCGCGGCAGGCCCTGCAAAGGCTGCAGCTCCTCACCCGGTCAACCGGGCCCAATAGGCCCAATTTTACACGAGGAAGATGAAAAAGGTTGAACACATATGTGTCCTTTTCGGGCAAATAGATGGCCCTGGTACATGATTAAACCACCAGGTAAACCAGGGCCATCTATTTTCCACCAAAACAGCCAAAAAGGACACCTATGGCTGAACATCGCCTCATGATTCGAGCTAGGCCCTCTTATAGAATGTAGATGTTTTTGTTGTTTGCTCCACTTTTTGTGTCACTTGGTTGAATAGGAGGGAATCATTCGGTATGCATCGCACCCCAGCGGATAATGTTCAAAGGACCTTTTGTTGAACGCGCCTACCGACCCCAAGACAGAGGATTGTGCAACCATGATTGGGGAACGTTCAAACAACAGACCCTCGAAACAAAGCAAAAGGAGGCTTAAACAATAGCTGTTCAAACATAATGAAGGTGACTGCTGGGATGCTTTGCGCGAGCAACCGACTGATCAATTGGGAGACTTTTGAGGTAGAGCATGTGTGTGTGTTAGGACCCGAAAGATGGTGAACTATGCCTGCAAAGGGCAAAGTCAGGGGAAACTGTCCATCTTGTCGTATGGCATCCACGTGCCAAATATCGACCAACCGCGCAAGTGGGGGATTGAAACCTTTCCCCGTTTCCTTCAGCAAGCTAAGCAAGCATGTTCGAGCTTGTTGCGCCATCAAGGGATGAGCATGAGGCCTGACTCATTGACTTCTTATCCCCCAAGAAAGGGATCACTGCCACTCGATAAGCTTCAGGGCGACTTTTGGGGTTGTGGTTTCAATGCGTGTGCCTCGGGGTATTTTTGCTGCAAAGGACCATTGATGGAAGGTTTCGCTTTGAAGCATCTGGCAAAGGCACGGGCAAGGTCTGAATCAAGCCGCAGGTCTGACTAAACGTGAGAAAGCGTTCCAATCCTGGCCAAACAGTCCGGCAGCAGCCCTGCAGGACTGCCCCCCTCAAGCCGGATTCAAAGCTTCTTCAACACGTCTGAAAACCAAACCACCCACAAACCCCCAAAAACCCAAACCCCCAAACCCCCAAGCCCTCAAACCCCCAAACACCCAAACACCCAAACACCCAAACCCCCAAACCCCCAAATCCCCAACCCCCCAACCCCAATCATCCCCCCAATCATCCCCCATATCATCCCCCCAATCATCCCTCCCCCCAATCATCCCCCCAATCATCCCCCCAGTCATCCCTCCCCCCAATCATCCCCCCAATCATCCCCCCAATCATCCCCCCAATCCCCCAATGCCCACCCCAGGTCCTCCTCCTTGGCAGCCAAGGGGATGGCAGCCTCCCGGGCCTGCAGTTGCATCGAATCGAATCGACTCGCCGCGCCGCTCGGTTTTTTCCTCGGAAGACTCCCCATGGATCCGACTCAAAGTTGGAGGAAGGGCCGAAGGGGAACTCCAAAACGAGACAAAAATCACACACACACACACACACATCAGGCCAGGAACAAAAATCCTCCACAAATGGGCGCGGCCCATTTGACATATCCCGCCGGCAAGAAAAGTATCTGGCCACAGAAGAGGCACTCACAGACATGTAACTCTCAAAATGTTGAAGCAATGATGGGTACTTCCAGTGAGTCTGATCAATTTAAAAAAAAAAAAAAAAAAAAAAAAAAACAGAAGAATGGTTTCAAGTTAAGACGGCCAAACTCTACCCGCGACCCCCAAACCACCCCGAGGGGAAACAGGGGTATATACCGTATATACCCTTTATTACATAGTGGCTTTCTAGTAGGTGTATATCCCATTTACCCACTGAGGGTAGAGGTTTGGGGTTTGTGTGTAGGGGCAACCATCGTAGACAAATTATTTCAACAAAAACAGAGCTGAAGTACCGGGCATCTTCTCTATGATGCTTCCGGATGTACCCCCTGTGAAGGAGGCGTGCGTGACATTGCCCGGATGCGTCCGCTAGGAACCGGATGAATTGGCCATGTATCCTTCACAAACAGTGCATAAGAGATCTAGGCACCATTGAACGCATCAAATACCAACCGTGGAGCTTCAAACAAGAAGCAGGGCCAAAACTTTACGAGGCGGAAAGCATGTTGTTCACCGAAGAATCCAGACAGGTCAGCCCGAGTTGCGGGTGAGGTGGTTCAGGGGTTTGCGGGTGGTTGCGCTGGCGGGGGTGATTCAGCCAGAGAATCCACGCCTCCTGCATGGTGGGCAGCGAGCGGAACCATTGGCTCAGCACCTGACGGTCGCTTTGCCCAGAAATGGACCCGCCTGTGCTTTGGCGAGAGCGCGATGCTAAGACCCTGACAACCCTCATGGGAGTTTGACGAAGGTATGGCAATGCGGAATCTGATGCCAAGGACTGAAATCTTGTCGTGGAAGGTACCCCCCCTGAGTGCGTCATTGTCCAGACTTGCTTGGGGAGAGTATACAGCAACAGGAGCCATCAATGCCCGTGCCTGCAAGTCCAAGGCGAAAGCGCAGGCTGTTGAGGCAGCAGAATTCTTGGATTTGCAGCTCATGGCCATCGTTTCCATTGACGCCAACAATTTCAAGAAAAGGGGCCACTGACAATCCTCACAAGCAGGAGACAGCCATATCGATCCAACCGATCCACACCCCCGCCAATGACCACGTATTTGGCTTAAACTGAGGTGCCATGTATTGGTATACCAGGGACATCGAAGGGTCTATGCTTTGGGTGAGTACTGAAGGGAGGGGCACGTGCGCCATGCTCAAACTCACTATGCAGCTCATGGCTGCTTGCGTCAAGAGATACCTGTATGGTTGACATCCCTACCAAGTACTGTCGACGCGGGATTTATCAACCTGGCGGATCAATCCTGCAAAAGTGCAAATACCCCCACACACTACGAATCGAGCGAATGGTTCTTCATGGTTCCCACCAGTCCAACTCCCAATCCGACGGGGAGTGTCTGTCAAAGGGGTCTGATGACAGCCCGCAACTGCGGTTTAGGGGCATACTTCATGCGTTTCGACGCTCTGCACTGGCACAATCATGGCACCCGAAGAACAGCACATGTTCCCCATTTGTTTGGAACCACCTGCCACCCGTTGGCCAAAAACTCGTCAGACCCCCCCCCCCCCCCCCGCGCCTCGTTGCCCTTGCCGGCGGCGGCATCGGGGTCCTTGGCCAACTCCGCCAGGTAGAGGCCCAAGGGGCTCTTCGTGCCTCGCCCCAAACCCTCGGTCTGGGTTTTTGTGGGTAGCCTCAGAGTGGGGTGGGTTGGCCCCAACCAGGTGTTGGTTTTTGTGGGTACCCTCATTGAGGGGTGGGTTGAAAGGGAAGGACCATGTTTTGGATGGGTCCCTTCAAAAAAGAAGGGAACCCAACCACAACAAACCACCCAGCTCTTGTCAGGACCAATGGAAACCCATGGGCCCAGGGTTCGGCTGAATATGTTCAAGAGCTCCGCCCTGCAGGTACCTCCCTTCTCCATGTTGTTGGCGGACACGTGAAGGGTCCACCTCTCGCTTGCTTAGAAAATTTGGGGATGATCCTTTTACCCAGCACTATGTTGGATTCTTGCATGTAACGGTGGGAAGGTTCATTCCTTTCATTCCCAACTTCCCCAGAATCTAGGTTGGCATGGGACAAATTGCCTTGATTCTGTACCTGCTGAATTGCAGTGAAGGAAAGCTCCAGCCAAGGACCTGTGAAACCTTTCGCTTGTTTGTGACACTCGATATCGGACACCCTGGAGCGCGAAGAAAAGCTTGCATTTCTCAGCCATCGTGATTGAATGGCAAAGCACACGACCGGGCGAGATGAAAAACGACTACGGCAGGAGGCGTTGTGATGTTTCGGCACAAGAAAAACAAGAGGGGCCAACCGGCCAACCCCAGCCCGCGCCTTTGAATCTCGGCTCAGTGAGCTTGAACTCGTCCTGGCAAGCTCAGCGGCCGACATCGGCTTCTCCGCAAGGCCAAACAGCCCGCGAGCTCGGGGAAAAGGTCCCCAGTGTCTTTCGCCATCTTTTTTTGGGCAGGTCACAAGGTTTTGAAGTTGCCATCGTTCTACCCTCTTGGCCTATACCAATTCGCTCACCCGTAGGCGCCTCATTCCAGCAAGCGCATCATCTTTCCCCATTTGCCTTTTCTGGCTGACACAAACGTTGTGGACCGGCCAGGAGTTGACGTGAGGAACTCGTTGGGGATTTGTAAGCCTTGACGACGCAGCTAGCCGCGAGTTCCCCGAACCAAACCGCGGGACCGCCGGAGACATTCGAGCAGTCACCACCACAAACAGTACCATCCCAAACAGCACCTGCAAAACAGATTCCCAGCACATGACAGACTAGAAGCGTGCCCCTGCCAAAATCGAAAGCCTCGATCCAAAGCCAAAGGTTGAAGCCATGTCTTCTCCGTCCTCCAAGTCCAACCTGTTTGGCCAAGAGTGCACGAAGTGCAAAGCACGTCCAACTTTGTGACTCTTGGTCAGCACAGTTGGTGCCTGCCAAAAAAACGTTCTTCCATGTTCCAACCACCGGCAAAGCGTTGGCAAGCGAAACAAATCCGCACCCAATCTGCCTTCTGTCCGCAGCTTGAGGGGTTGGCGAAACGATCCATCACCCCAGCCACGCAAAAATCAATGAAACCTTGGCTCCAATATGCTCCAATAGTGCTGCTATCAAAACAAACACAAAGGGCATAGCCCGCAAAATGCCGACCCTTTGGTAGATTTGTCTGAAATAACTCTCCCCAAACATCCCTCCAAAATGGATGGGGTGTGTGGTATGTCTCCTTCTGTCAGCTTTGCGGGGCAAGCTGGGTTGAAGAGAGTTTTTGGGGCGGATTGTTGCAATGTCAATCTGTTCCCCCATGCGTTCCCCAAAATAAGCCGACACCATGTTGCAAAAAAAAAAGAAAGCTTGGGAAACGTTTCCAGAAGATGTGCTGGTTCTTTTAGGTTTCGCGTTTTTGCCTTTGCCGGCTTCAGCCCAGCCCGGGTTCCGCGAGCCCTCGGGGATTCCGCTCCGTGAGCATCACGGGCTGCGGCACCGAGAGGATCTCCTGGCCCTTCTTGATGGCCGCCTTCGACCGAAGCGCCCGGGGCCCGTGCTATGGGATGACCCTTGGACCACCAAGACGACAAAAGGCCCACGAAATGGGAAAGGTGACCCATCATTTGGGGGCCGCAGGGAATATTGATCGTCCGCATGAAGAAATTCACCAAACAAGTACAGTGGTCTGGCAGCTGATGGTTGCTATTGCTGTGTAAGTTTCTCCAGCTCGGAGACTGCATCATGTTCAGATTGCCGGGCGAGGTAGGCTTACCACAATGACTTGTGCTCACCATGCCTGATGATTGGTTCACTTGCATCGTTCCGGGAATCGATCATTGCCTCTCAAACATCTCCAACCGCAAACCAGTGGCCCAGCGGTACCAGGCACAAGGGAGCCATCAACACCGTGGATCCGGTTTCAAAAAGAAATGGGACCGGGAGCGGAAGAAGTTGGACTGGGAGCTGGGTATTGCGTTTGGGCCTCTAGTCTGGTTTACTTGGAGGTGGTCTTAAACGCAGAGTCGAGCACTCAAATTGCCTGGTTTGGATGCGACACAGTCTCGAGCTGAAAACAAAAATGCGACTGCCGGCAACATCAGGCTCCAGCATGCCATGGCTTACTTAAAATTGGACCCAAATGTGATGATTGGAATCACCAACGTGTTGCAAGGGACATGGGACATGTCCTCTGAACGCTAGAATAAGAATATTATCCACACAGGGCATTTGGAATGATAAACCTTATGCGAGGGACCTGGAGCTTGTCGCAATGTCCATCACGCCGATCTTGTGTTCAACTAGGCGACTGGTCAAATCAAACCCCGGAGGAACAAACCCCTGTTAGCCTAGTTGATTACAAGTACGCCTGGGTATCTTTCTAGTGGGCCTCCTCTACCTCTGGAATCAGACGGAGCTTTGCAGGTGGGGGCTCGCAAGACCATGGATTTGTTTAGTTTTCCTGGTGGAGGGTCCATCTCGCTCGACGTCTCCTTCCCACGGCCTGGCCTTGCTGCTGAGACCGCGCACCTGCTGGCCCCCGTGGGGGAAATCCACCACCTGCCAACTGACTCTCAAGGCAAGTTCCAGCGGGCCCGGAAAGACTGGGAACCAAACAGTGGAAGCCAGCCCCGAACACATCAACTGCTTCTTCTGCTTGGGGCAGCTTCTACACACGTCTTCCTTGGAAGAAATGCGAAGCTTGCCCTTGCCTTTGAGTGCAACCGACCGAAATGGAGGAGGCGAGGTCCATAATATTGTTCAAGCTGAGCGCCTGAAACAGACTTGTGACAGCTCAAGGCTTTCGGGATCCGATCTTTGCCTCTTCCCCTTTTCAAAGAACAAGAGGGACCCGGCTGAAGTGGGTTGCTACAAAAAGCAAAGGGGTCCCTGGTTTTTCCCAAGAGGAAGAAAACCTGGCGGCCTCCTTGTGAAGAACCTCATGAAACGTGGGCGGCGCCCTAAGTTGCAAGAGAGCGCCATGGCCGGAGCTCCCCGACGTAGCTTTCAGATTGGGGCCTCTAACAAAGAAACGGCCATTTGAGTTAGACACCAAACCTGATACACAAATGGTGAACCCAGAACCATGCAAAGAATGGGTTTTGACAGCGAGTCATTTGAAAGCTGAGCCTGCGCTTGCTTGAACCCTCCCCATTCCATCTTCAGCACCACGCCCAACTGGCCTGCAGGTCCGCAGCCATCGCTTTGTGGGTGCCTGCCGAGACAAACAGCGAAGCCAGGGGGGTGGTGCAAAGAGCCATCCTGCCCGCAGGCAAAAAGCAACCACGGCGAGTATTGGTCCTGCTTTCAAGGTTGTCCTTGACCTGGTGAATGATTTCTCATGGGCGAGGTCGCAGCCCTGTCTTTGACGTTGCTACCTTTTTGCGCGGTCCCCATACCTGACTGGGCACCTAATGGGTGAGTGCACTGACTTGCCCTTTGCAGTGGTTAGATGATTCCAACGGTTCGCGGGATATCATTTTCATCGACCGCAGCCTCCCTCTCCCCTATCCCTCCCTCTCTGTTCCTCTTTCCTTGGACGGTCGAAACCTACAAACCTACTGAATGGACCAAATCCTACACAAGTTGGTGCTTGTCCCAGTATTCTTCCAACTGAAGTGGATTCTGTCTTTCCACGGCATCTTTGTTGCACGATACAAACGGCCCCCTTCCCCGTCCCAACTCGCCCGGTCCGCCTTCGAGCATTCCATTCGGCCCCAGGTGCCGCAGCAGCGCGCTCAGCACGGAGGCCGCCGACCCAGTGCCCTGGACTCACCGACACGCGCCCCCCAGTTTCGCATAGGAAGCTGCTGAAACGAAAGGCTATGGCATGTGGCAAGGACCAAAAGGATAACCAAAATGGCCCGCTTTTGCGGAGAGACCTGCTTGAGAGCCTGAAGCTACGAGCTGCCTCCTGCCTGTTGCCCTGAAACTTGCTTTTCAAGAAAAAAGGCAGAGCCGATTCTGCTAGCAAACCCTCAAAACACGCAGCCTGTGGCATGGCGGCGTCCAAGGCTGCTTTGGAGGTCGCAGGTCGAGGTCGGAAATGGACTTGGAGTCGAGGTGTTTACAGGAACTGGCAAAATAAGGTGAGGCAAAGGGATTCCATTCCCATGAACCACAGCTTGGATTTGCCACAAAACCCCGAGCTGATTGATCTGCCGGGGGTCGCCCTGGCCCAGAGCTCCCGCAAGCTCGAAACCGGGAACCCCATCAAGTGAGCTTCCTTTGAGGAACCCCAAAGCGAAAGGCAGAAAGGCAGCTAGGTACACGTGTTGCACGTGGCTTGTTCATTGCATAGGTCGATTCCCGCGGGGGCTGAGCCAAAGCGAAGGGTCCGGGCGGCCCTTTTCCGAGCGGACGGCTACCCATTCCGATCAGCTTGGACATGGAAGGAACCAGGAACTACCTCAAAAAGAGTCAGTTTTAGACTCCTGATTGGACTGATGCTTCCGGCGCACAAAGATTTAGAGCATTGGCGAGCTCCATGAAAGCCACATCAAGCTTGGCTTCTATGCGACGGCTGCATGTCTGCTGCATTGCTCAAGTTCCCCAACAAGGCCCAGTGCTACTCAAGATTCCCCGCCAAAAACCAGGGTAGCGGATGAGAAGAATCCACGGAAAGCCATTTCCAAGGCCCCTTGCACAAACACGCACTGCCGCGCTGGCCTGGCCAAATATTTGAGCGCGCGTCAAGCCTGCATGATGCCAATGTGGCTATCTGAGTGCCCTGTGATATCTCCTGTTTGCCTCCGCTGTTCTGGGACCCAAAGATGCCCCTTCATCTACCAAAAAATGCCGGCTGAATGACCCTCTGGAACACACGCGAGACTTGGTAACTGGGGACCCTTCGGTGGACATCATTGACATGTGAATGTATGTTATGTCCACCAAGAGTTGAGGGTGTTCCTGCGACCCATCTCAACGCACAAAATGACCACGGGGTGCAGAAAAAGGCGAGGCGGCGCCTTTTGTGGTGGCACTTTGGTTCAAACCTGCGGCTCCCCGTTTTCCCCCCCCCCCCCCGACCGACACCAGGCCCAGGGCCGGCCATCAAAGTGGCGGGCAGCCTGGACTTCCCTTGAGGCATACCCATTCTTTCTCGTGGATTCAGTTCCTTATAAGGGCACTTCATCAGCATGGGGTTCCAACATCTCATCTCTTTTTGGGGCCCCGTGTTTGGCTTCCATGTTGATTTGTGGGGGAGTAAGCTTTTGGGAGGGAAACTAACACCGGGCTGTTGCAGGCCCGTCACCGCAAGTCCCATTGGTTGGGGGGACAACTCACACCGCCAGGCCAACTTGGTCCGTATCCTGCGTGCTAAACTTTGAAAGCGCACTCTGGGAAGCAGGTAGCAAAATACATTCATTCGCGCACGTCCAGAAAACGTTGGGAAGCCTTGTGGATGCCGCAAAAAGGAAAAAACAACCCCCCCCCAAAAAAACATCCAATGCGGATTTACGTGCGCCCAGGCAGAAATGATTCCCTCAGTCCCAAAGTCCCTGAGTCCCAGTGACCCTGTCATTGACTCTGACTCTCCGCAACTCTTTGACACAGTCCTGATCAATCCCATCCGGTGACGGGCATCCAAATGCTTGGCAAAGACATGCGCTGGCCGGCAAAGAATCTAATTTCAACCTGAGGTTCCTCCTTTGCCTTCGTCAGTGATTGCGCCACCGCTGTTCATGTTCGGGGCATGCAAACCAAAACAGTCGATCTGTATGCTCCCCGCCGATGACTCTGCCATTCAGCCACTATGGATTTCTGCAGCCTTTGCCCCAGCCAAAACTCAAACCATCACCATCCTCATAATCACCACCGTCAGCATGACCAAGACGGCTGGGCCCCGCGCTTGTTCTTGGTGCTGGCTCCCATCTGGATGCGCGTTACGGCACGAGTCGCAGGTTGCCGCAAAAAACGCCAGTTGGAGCTGCTGAGGGTACTTTCTATGATTCTTGAAAGGGTCCGGCCATTCGGGTGGATCAACCATGAGAGGACCGCAAGCACAACACAGCGAGCGACGCTTGCCGTGAAGGACCTTTCATCCTCTGATTTTGTCAAATTGAGCCGCTCCCTGCCACCTTTTGTGGAAGATTTAGTTCAGGCCCAAGTCGACCATCCAACCGGAGTCTTGCAGGGCTCTCCCTTTCTCTCCGTAAACATCGCGCCAAAAGGAGACTTCCCTGACTTTGCCAACCAAAAACTGCTGTAACTGGCCAAAGGTGCAAATATAGCGACAGGTGCTAAACCTCCTGGCTGGCCATGTGGCGGGAGTAAACTTCTCCGCGGCTTCCCCCTCAAACATCACCCTGGTCCAAAAAGCGATGCTTGCTGCTTGAAGTGCCCCAAAATAAGAAACATCTTGAATCTTGGTTGCTGTTGACCCCCCAGCAAAAAGTTTAACTTTTGTGGGTCAAATGGAAAGTCCAGTGTTTCCCAAAGAGCTAAAGTCCAAAGATCCCAACATTTTTTTTCATAAAGACACATAGGACAATCCCCCCCCATGTCCCTTTGGTCGGCTAGTCACACTCCCCAGCCCGTCTGTCTGGGCCGCCCGTGCACTGTGGCGGCCTGGTTGTCCGTGCCGCCACTGGGCGAAGGGCGGTTCGACTGGAGGGATTGGCTTCGGAATCTCCAAATGCCAAACCTCAGAAGGATTCCCATCCACTTTTTCTGTCACTAGATGTTCTGTATATTCCTGTAGCTTCTTGGGAACCGTTCCACTCAGCTCCGAAGTGCGGGAGATTGGCGTGATTCACTTTCTCGCCTGCTGAACGGTTCCGATCATCAGAAGGAGGGTTGCACTGCCATCAACCAGAGCTCTCTAGCTGCCCTGACAGCAGTGACCTTTGCAAGTAGGAAACTGCACCTTTACAACATGGACCGCGTGCTTGCAAGGCTTGCGGAATCAAGGCGGCATTCTGTTGCAAATGATTGTACTTGTGTTGCGCTTCTGTTTCTGCATCTGCATGTGCTGGTGCTGGTGTCCGTGATTCTGTTTGTGGGTGTCGTGCTTGCTGAGGTCCGTAGAACAATTACCAATGGAAATGAGCTCCGTGCAGGCACTCCATCTAGGAGTCCTGGAAAATATCCGAACCCCTTCAAGAGAAGGAACACACCTCAAAGGGATCAACATAGCCAAATGTTGAGGTTGCATGTCAGGTTCATGCAATTTTGGGGCATGCACGTCCAAAGTTCCTTCCCGACAAGACCTAAGGCTTTTCAAAGAAATTCGGCCTTCAACATCTAAGTGGTTTGATGGCGATTAAGATGTCGCTCGTCCAGTGCAAGCCCCGCCGAACAAGCCCTCGGTCGCCTAACCTGGGAGGACCTAGGATTGAACCTTTGAGCCAGGAATGGGTTTGTCTCAACATAGGTAAACACAAAAAATGCTTGCCTTTGGTTTTGCTTTAGAATCATCCCAAACGAGGGATCCAAGCACGGGCCCAAGCAATCAGCACGAGAACTTGCAGGGCATCTTCAGGACTCCTGGGGTTCCACCCCTTGAACTCCGATTTCCTCTTCAAAGGCCAACAGTTGTTGGCCCCCCTCACTTCAGAAGGAAGCCCAACAGGCGCCAAGTGCCCGGCCCTTTGCCACCATTGGCCTGGTGCTGCTTTGTGAGTCTGATGTTCAAGGCAAGCCCTGTTACTGTGGCTTGCTTGGTTGACATGCAATGTAGGGGGAATCCTGCGCACCCGTTGAAGCAGGCTGGACATGGGTTGCATTACTCACCAAGGTCCAAGTTTCGTCAAGCGGTGTTGCCCGAAAGTTCCCGCGGCTGTCCCTGGAGTTGCTCAGGAAACGCAAGGCTCGCACGAAAGATATATCCTAGAGCGGAGATACCCCATGCACTCTGAATACGAAAGGTGAGGATTGCATGTGTTTTGGGTCTGCGCTTGTGTGGTATGTCGTTCTCATGTTGAAACCGCACAAGGCTAGACACATCAAGAGCTCAGCTTGAAACGCCCGCGAGAAGTCTCTGCTGCTCTCAGCCAAGTAAAGCGGGCCACTTCGTTTCAGTGCAGCGGAGGCGATTTTTCCAACCGAAATACTAACCCGCGGCGCGAGATCAACGATCCGAAGGGGAACGTCTACGTGCTATGCAGGCTGCTTGATACATTTGGATGTGAAGTAGCTGTCACTTCCCACATTTCCGGGAGCCCTGTATCGCAGACCAACCCTGCCGCAAGCTGCGTTAATTCACGGAGGTAACCTCTTCAACCCCATCTCACGCCTCCTGCCTAAGACGCCTACTCTCTACATGCAACAACAATGTTCTTTGGACTCAAACAGTCATCTTAAGGTGGTTCAACTGTGGTTTTGAATCGCTCTGAAACAAGTGTGCAAGGAAACCAACAAGCAAAAAGAAGATAGTTCAACTTGTTTGTTGATTCGATAAAACGCAAAGAACGCTTCAAACGTCTTTCCTATCTCAACTGTCCTTCGTGCGCCAAAGCGCAAGGCCTTGCTTTAGAGGCTTCGGCCCGGCTCACACAGAGCCGGGTTCACCTGCCAAGTCAAGCCGGTGGCTGAGGCATCTTCAAAAACCGAAGGTGGAACCTTCTACCCCATGCCCCCAACAGGCCCCTTCAACCGGTCCTTCAACCCCCCTCAAACCCCCCCCCCTCAAACCCCCTCACCCCCCCTGCCCCCCAAACCCGGACTCTGGCCACTTCCGGGCGCCGGGTCGCCGGGTCGCCGGGTCCCGGGCTGGTGTGCTTCGCCCAGCCATAGACGTCCACATAGAGCACCGCCCGGAAGGACCGCGGCAGCACCTCCGCTCTCGTCGATTCGAGGCGGATGGCGAGGCAGACGCGTGGCAGACGTCCGGAGCTGCAAGAAAGGTGAGCCAGGTCCAAGGTGCTGCATCCAAAGCTTTTGTTGCCGTGACAATGGAACAGCGCCCCAAAGCTTTTGTACTGTTTTACCGATGGGTATAAAGACTTGTATAGGGCGTATTGCTTTGGGCATGCTCAATGGATGCTTGTCATGTTGGGCATGCAAGATGGGCTGCACTGCATGCCCTCCGGGGATGCTTATCACCCTGGGTGCATCAGCACAGTAGTGGCCGCGTATCATTCCGGGCATATCCACTTCTTCAGGGCAGGATGCAGGAACAAGCAAGGAGCACGTGGGATGCCTCACGTCACTCCGGTCCGAAGTGGGAGCCAAGTGCCCTGGGATCCCAGGCGTCTGACCTCGGCTCTGAGGTTCGCACCGCGCCGGTCTGGTGCTCTTTGCAGTGGAAGACGTGCAGGTAGTAGAGGAACCAGCAGCCCTGCACTCGTCGAAAGGCGCATGTCAATACCTCCAGGTCCCCGAAACCCTAAAGGACACGGGAATTGCTGTGTGAGTCCTCACAGTTCTTATAGACATTTAGTGAGTCCGCTACTGTCCCACCCAAACTGACCATGGACTACGTATATTTTTGCTGGACCTCTTGCTGGTATGCCAACTCGAACTATCCCGTCTCCTTCCCCTAGCTGTCAATTTACCAGGGTTCCATTCTAGACCCCTATATTTGAGCCACACCATGTGAGTACAGGGCAAAGATGCATGTTGCCAGCCCACAGAAACAGAACGGCACCCACCGGCAGCTTTGCTGCCCTCGCGCGTGGCAGCCTCGCTACCAAAAGTCAAACAAGTGTGGTCCTTTGGCAAGAGCAGATCCTGCACTTCTAAGAGCCCTGGCAATTGTCGAAGAAGGTTGCCAAGTCTAAACTGGCCAACTCAGCTTCAACGCAGGGCGTCCGTGCTTTTTTCCAATGTCGCCGAAGGGCAGCGCAGTTCGCTCAACTCATGCAAAATTGTTGTGAGCGCGATGTTCTGCCCGACAAGGCCATGTTCCCACTTGGCACAACCAGGGAAGATGGATTGGCTGCCGGGGGGATTCTATCAAACCTCATCTGTGCAAATCTAGGTTGGCCAAGAAAGTGCTGCGATGCTAAGATTCACCTCAGGGTGTATGGCTGTCAACCCCAAGGCAGCAGATTGTTTCACAAAGAGCTCTATCTTTGCCAACCCAAGCCCCCAACCCCTGCCCTATTCGTGTCCGGCCTTCAGGAAGAGGCCCACAGGCACCAAGTACTCGACATCTGGCGCGGGTCAAGCGCAGATCGGGCAAAGGCAACGACATGCTGAGCAAAGGTGCGCTGGGCCTCAAAACAGTGTTCAACCAAACATGGATGTTCAGCGGGCGTACCGCCCATCTCTGGATACAACCCCCTGTTAGCCTGTCGGGTGCTTGTGGGGAAGCCAGCCCATGCAGAAGGAGCGAACCGATTGACACGCTGCCAACCACATTGCCCGCGGCGAAAAACGACTTCAACCTGGAGAGAGCCCCTATGGTCCAAGCCTAACTGCCCCAAACCGAATCCATGGTGGCACTTAGGTGGCAGCCATCTTTGGAGCTCCTTGGGCCTCCTTCAGGGCTTCCCTTTGCCGCCTAGACCCAACCTCCGTCAGGTCCAACGACCCGGGGCCCCCGGGGCCCCCGGCTGCCCGGGTTTCCCCAGCGCTTGGAGGACATGAAGGTCACAACCTTGGATCAACGGGAAGTCCGCAACACGGGTAGGTTTGAGAGGAACCCTGACACTGGTCTCCAAAACAACGGGGAGGAAAAAAAAGAGAAAAAGACAAAAATGTCAAGAGGCCCACCAGGTTTCGACATCCCAAGACAATTGGTGTTTTTATTGTACCACCCTTCTTGCCCCAGAGTAACATGGACTTAATACACACATCTATGTCTAGAGGACTACTTTTAGGGGTACCTCTTTTGGGGTTCCATGTCAATTTGCAGAAGGGGGAAAAAGGCCAAGTGCTACAGGAAACCAAGCCATATTTCCCAAGGCCAAACCGGGTCCCTCTGAATCTGGTGGGATGTCCTTGGTGTTAGAAGCCAAGGGAAGTCGATGGAGCCTGGCAGGAGGTTGGGTGTGTTTTGTTGAGCTTAAAAGCAAACCCAAGAGGAAACCCATTTATGTACGCTTTGTGGGCGGGGTCCCCTATTCCCCATTTCAGCACGACCCCTTGTGCACGATGGGAGATGAGGCAACCGGACAAAAGACAACTCGAGGGGTGGAAGCCTTCGTTTTCAGTTTTCGCTACCGACGCTACCTTGCTGTGGGTGCAACACCACATTGCATTGAGTCCGTCACATGCCGCGTGCAACACACCTTCTGCTTCACAAGCGTTGCGTGTTTCAGTTCGCCCAGTCCTTCTTGCCACCATAGGTCATTAGGGAGAACCGTCATGCAAAACTGTACTTCGGAAAACCTAGAATCACAAGTCTAGCACAGCCACTGGGCAAGGCATGGACAATTCCAGGGCTTCTCCTTTGCCATGTCCATGCTCGTGAACCCGATCTTTCCTTCCACTGAAACCTAAGCCACGGCCTGGCCGTCGCTGAAACATACCAAAAGCCTGCAACGCACCCAAACTTTACTTGCATGAAGATGCCATAGGATCTGGGGAAGCCAGGTACATCCAAGCGTATCGCAATGGAGGCTGAAACTCTGAAGACGAAGCCCACCCTCAGCCCATCTACTCATCTCTTCGCCAGCTGCCTTTTTCTGCGGCAAGTGGTCGCTCTTGGCTCCAAGGGAATGCGAGGGGCTTAGCCCGAAAAAGCACCGCTCAGAGCCGTTAGGCGAATTATATAGTTGCCACGGGAAAACCACAAAACACACATCTGACCCAAGTCGCCTGCAATCGCCAACCCCTCCCGCAACCCAGCAGCATTAGGGGGCGCGGGGGCAGGGTCCCATAGGGAGATTCCTTTGGGTGGCTGGGAGAACCTCTCAAACATGAAACCGAGGCAAACGCATCACTTCCACTCCCAGCCCTCTTGGCCATGGGGCCTTGGACAAGGCCTGCATGTTCAAAGGGAAGGCAAATGTACACGGGCCACCCGGTCTGAAGGTACTTCGTTCCAATGGAGTGAAGTTGTAATGACAAGGCACAAAAAAGCATCCGCCTGTGACAATCCTTGGTAATGAAAAGAACATCATGCTGACATGCCTGCCAACGTGCCTCCCAACGGCATCCTATAGATTCGCCGCTAGAAGGCTGCTCCAAAGTCCAACTTGGCTCGGAGCAAACCCATTCAAAGCTGGTGTCTCGAACATCCGCCTGGCGCCACACTGGCAGGCAAAACGGGGCAGACCGGATGTGCATTGCCAACAAGTAAAGAAATGTCCAGGGGGTGGCTTTGTTGCACTCCATATCATGATGGCTGGAACCTGTACCCAAGAAGGTCCTGGCAAACTGTTTTGTCCAGCCATTGGTCTATCAGCATGTTTGTTGCAATCCCAAGTGCGTGGTCCAAAAATGTCTCACGTTGCTCCCCTTCAACCCCCAGGACTCATTGTTCCAAATGAGCTTTGCCAGTGGCTACACGCACAGAAACCACAGATCGCTGGCTGAAGGTTTCCACAATGTCTGGCCCTTTGGAAGGGCCCTTGCTCACCGCCGAAGGGCCCTTGCTCACCGCCAAAGGTCCCAAAACAGGGGCAATATTTACTCAACAGGTGAATCACAAGGCATTGCTATGTATATATATATAACATGCATTGGGTTGTTTTAAACTTTTAAACAAACATACAAGCCAGCTAGAACCTTATGCTTGCTTCACACCGCGCGCTTGTTTTGTGGCAACAGGCTTTGGCCATGTGCAAATGTGCCATCAAACCTGCTGCTCCATTTAGGTTCGACGACTTTCCCCTGTTTCAATCTCGATAACCACCTTGCAGGTGGTTCCACATGCAATCGCGCAACATATTGCTGTTGAGGAGTCTCACACAAAAGATGGGAGATGATAATAACGCTCGTAAGTTTCTTGTTTGAAGATTTGCAGCGATCAGTACACGGCCAAAGCATGTGTCACGGCCAACACACGACTGCCCTCGCCTCAGTTTCGCCCTAGGCGATCTGTGCTCACGCTCTTTTGCTGCCTTATTCGGAGGCCGTCCTGCAACTTTAGGAGCGACACACAACTTGAAAAGCATGCTACAGTTGCGCTTCAATCGTCATGTTGCCTTTGCCTTGTGAGTATGTTTTGACTATCGGATAATAGCATGTGACAGTTGGCTGTGGGTCAAAACTATGTACCCAAAATGGAACCTTAGTACCTGGAACCAAGCACTACAACCTGCGGTCCCCTGGTGGTTTAGGTCAATCGATTGCTCCTTCCCATTCTGAACATAGGTGGATGTCGGTGCGAGCTGTCGGGAGAAATCTGCCGCTGAAGGTGCCACCCGCAGCTTGCGCTGAGCTCTTGCTCGTTTGCAGGACAGTGACCATGCAACTGCGCCCAAGAAAGAACGAACGAACGAACGAACGAAAGAAAGCAAGCAAGCAAGCAAGCAAGCAAGCAAGCAAGCAAGCAAGCAAGCAAGCAAGCAAGCAAGCAAGCAAGAAAGAAAGAAAGAAAGAAAGAAAGAAAGAAAGAAAGAAGGGAGAACGCCGACCCAAGCCACCTGACTAAGACGCAGCGAAAAGAGGAGCGCAGAAGAACGCGTCAACTTACTTGCCAAGTTCATGACCAACTCCTCGCACCAAATTTGACTGCAAAATAGGCTCTGAACCACAAGTGCGGAACAAAAAGGAAAGCTCTGTGCGGACAAAGGAAAGCTGTGCCAGAACGAACCGGCCGGTCCTAGATCCAGGCCGTGCTGCTGCCGTTTTGGGCTCTTTGGGGTTGCTCACACGTACCCAAGCCCTCCCACTTTCGGCTTCCATGAGTTACTGCATTTCCTGGAAAGCAGGACTAACCTTGCAACGGTCAAAAGTCGCCGGACCCTCCAGGGGCGCAAGAAGCTCAACATTCAAGCGGCATCTACACAAGCCTCATTTGCTCCATGCGCCTCATCTGCTGCCACCCCCCACGTCCCCTCCTTGATCTCTTTCAACTGCTCCTCCTCAGACAGCAAGCGGCACTCACCACAGACCAAATTTAGGGTCCCCGAGGCTATCTTTCCAAATCCCCGCCCCCCCCCCCCCCTCCCCACCTTGATGGGGAGGGGGGTGGAGCGTCGCCGATCCCGTGTTTTTTCAGCTTTCCCCACAAAGGGAAAATGGAATTCCAAACCCGCAGGGCTGCACTGAGGAGAGCCCCACGGGTGCATAAGGGGTGAAAACACACCCTGGACCACCCCAAGCGCCAAGCAATCATTGAAGCCAGGTCAACTTCCATGCTCCTTCCAAGAAAAATTGGTAATCAGGTGATGCAAATGAAGCCCGGGCATTTTCAATGTGTGGCCTTGACAGGAAACCCAGAACGACTAGCCCAGCTCTTGCCGAAGCTACAGCAGATCTCGGAGATGGGATACCTCCTTTGTGCCTGAAAGGAAACTGGATTCGTGGCCGCTTGCGTGTGCATGCGTGTGCATGCGTGTGCATGCGTGTGCATGCGTGTGCATGCGAGTGCATGCGTGTGCATGCGTGTGCATGCGTGTGCATGCGTGTGCATGTGCCCTTGAGAGCAAAACAAGGTGTGGGTCGCTAATTGAATCTCTACTTTTTCGCCGAGTCTCCACATATGCTTGGAACTTGCCCTGGTTCTTGATTTGCCAGGTCTGGTCGTGAATGATCCTTGCGGTCCAGAGCCCAGGTGAGTGAGGGAAGCCAGAGATTCACGCTGGTCTTCCTGCTGATTGTTTAGAGGGATAAAGTATGAGAGTAGATGAATCAAGCAAAGACCAAAGCTTGCCCCTCGTCAGCCTAGGCGAGGGCAAAGGAACGAAGCAATCTGGAAGGATTCAAGCGTTATAATAGGCCTTGTAGTGCATTAACTTGGCAAGGAGGCATGAACACTACCTGGGCTGGTCATAATCTAAACCTGGATTGGAGGCGCCTCCCAAAAATTAACTTTGTCAAATAAAACAACGGCATAGCGGCCACGCCTGTGTACGGGGAAAGGGGGGATTCTGGCCCACCGTCACCTCTCCAGCCTTTGATAGCTTAAAAGCGCACAACTCGGACCATTGGTCTCACGGCAAGGGTGCTGGTGCAAAAGTTGCCAAAAAGTATCTAGGTCTCTGTCACGAAGCCACGGGCTCCTGGTAGACCCAATCAACTGTTGGGGCCCCGACATTGGAACCCTCGCGAGCGCCCCCCAACACTCCCGCATTGGAACACAACAAGCCACAGGTCACCGGAGCGGCGCTCGAAGCAAAGCCAGCTTTTCAGGGAAACAAAGATCCCCACGTTTCACGCGCACCCGGATCGAACCTTCCAAAGTCTAGACATCCGGAAAGAACCGCAAACTTGGGGATTGCTGTCCCTGGGCCAGGTGGCTTGCTGAGATCGATGGCTTTGGCAGAGCCACGGACTCGCAAGCAGCCCATGAGAAACTCTTCCATATCAACCGCGCCGCTGTCATCCTGAGGTTACGCAGGTTGCCTATCTCAGGCCGAATCGAAATCGTGAGACTCAATACCCTGAACTGTGACCCGGCGATCAATAGGTGAGACAAAAGAAAACGTGCTAGCGCCCAAGAGGCCAGGTCCAGCATCTTGAAGAAGGACCAGGCGTCCCAAACATCCTTAGGGCGATTTCTCCCGCAGTTTTGCAGCCAGGAAAACATGATCGTGCTGTGATCAGGCATGTTGAACAGGCACGTTGAACAAAATGACACGAGCCACTCAAATTGGCCTGTGCGAATTAATCTGTTTCAATTCGCTTGAGGTGAAACATCCCCGAAACAGAAAGGTTCCTCATCATGAAGGTTGCTTTCAGATTTGGTTGGGAGCACCGTTTGCTGCACGCCTGCAATTTAGCAACCGTGTTTGAATCTGACTAGGTTGAGGTTGGATGCCCGAAAAACCTCCCACACGTCTTGTTTGACTTGGATGACTGGCCATCCGCATAACTGGCCATTGTTTGGATGATTGTGTTATCTGTCGCAAACACCAAATCAAATATCGAATTCCCTTAGCGACGTGCAAGAAAGCGCAGACCATTCTGTTGGCAAGCAGGCCGTTGCAGCACTGTGCCGCAAAGCACTGCCAATACGAAAACCAACACAATCAACGAAGCAAATCCAAAAACTGATATGCGCAATGCGTGTACAAGCGTCAAAACAACAAAAAAAACAGCCGAGGAACAAGGCCCAACGACTCAAAGTATTCCCTCACCTCTGGCGAATCGATCTTCTCCTTAAACATCAGGTATGTGATGCTGCCTGTCTCTTCAGCTCCAAGACGGGAGAATAGATCCTTTACCTTCTCCAGGTGCGCCTGCTTATTTGCGAGCACGGCGTGCATCATCGTTGCATGATCATTCTGGGCGCTATCAATCGCACTTTGGCAGAAGACTGCAGTTACCTTAGTTCCACAAAAAAAAAGAGAGTGTATAGACGTCGGCAGCAGCCACTCACCGAGGTGGGACTAAACAGCTATGCAGGAGCTGCAAAAATGAGATGCATTGTGTATCCAACACGTTGGTCAGACAGGGGGGTTTGCCCGGACCGAACCCTGTCAGACATGCGTCAGTCGAGCGCTGGTTCACTGAGAGGAGGGGGGTGGGGGCAAAAATTCGTTCGGGGACCGCAAGTTTTTGGCCCAATGTCTCGCTCCCGCTCAAGGACCCCAATCCGCCATGCTCCTTGGTTGCTGCGAAATCTGGATTCTCCCATGTCTTTGCATTCATCGTCGTGCTCGTCAGGTGACTCGCAGCTGGGCTCCACGTTTGGCATTGTTTCGGATTAACATTTGTCTGTGTTGCTTCTAGAAGCCCACACGCTGCAGGCCATTGGTCTGACAAAGTCAGTCCAAAAGAGGCATATGTTGACATAGCTTGGCTGCAAACCAGCCGTGAAGATGTCAAACAGCACGCTTGAAATTGAGCACATTGCTGCCCCTGCCAGCGCAGCGTACTGAAACACATTTGTTTGATACAACAGCGCACATGCCAACCCTTCCTTCTTCATGTCAGTCATGCTTCAAGATCATTGGCCCCCGCAGCGTGAAAGGCAGGTGTTCTTCCACATGCTGGCCAGTGACCGGGTGCGTCCCGGCAAACCCCCCCCCCGTCAACCCAACATGTTGCACTGTGCCAAGCGCAGCCCAAGAGCAAGTGCGCTGCTCATACACAAGATGGCTTATTTCAAGGACAGCAAGTCAAGGTTGCACATGCTTCCACAGCTACAAAGAGAGAGGCACCCACGGCGAGTCCCCATGGTTGCACTGAGTCGATACACACAAGCACATCAAAGCAAATGCACTGTTACCTTAGTTGCACATATATGGCTGTGGCTCAAGAAACCGGTACCGAAATGGAACCCTGGTAAGTGGAAACATGGACCAAAACCTGCGGTTTGCCCCGCCTGTTCAATTTTGAGCCACACCCATATGTTTTTTGTACGTGTGGTTGAAGTGGCACAAAGCAAGTTCGACTGCGACAGACGCGGAGCTCCAAACGGCGCTGAATATCTGCCAAGTTGCGACATTTAAAACTGCAAAATACCTGGGCCAGACTTAGGCACTCTCCAGAAAGTAAGTTGTGTTTCTGGCTGAAAGGAAACAGAAAGGAAACCCAAAAAAGCAAAAAAATGAAAAAGGTAAGCTAAGTCTGGCAATGATACGTGAACGCTATGTAAAACAAAAAGATAGCAACCCAGACGTAGGAGATCTTGTAGAGTGCAAGAAGCACTTGCTCCCAGCTGACGCCGCCGGCGATGCTCATGAACAAGCCTTATCTTGCCAAGGCAACAAACGAGCACTTGTCCCTTTGTCTTTATTGGTGTTTGATCCCACCGAACTTGCGACTTCGAAAAGAGACACAAAAGGGGGCAGACGGCTCGGCCCCTTTCAGTGCTACCCCTTTGCAGGGAGCGGAGTGTTTGAAGAACAAACTCGGTCGACGAGATCGCATAGTTACTGTAACCTCCCCAAAAATATAATGTCTCTAACGTCTAAGTTGTCTGATGTCTCCAACCTCTAGCTTCCTAACCTCTGACTGTGCCAACGTCTGCCTTCTGACACCGCCGGCATCAACTGCATTTTCGTCAAGAAATCAGTTGGGCGTTGCTATGGACGGCCTCACCAGCATGAGCCCTGTCTTAATCAAGAAAACGGTCGAACATCGAGTAGGTAGACGTTGGTGTTGTACGCGGTTCTAGACGAAATCGGTGGACACCTGCATCGCCCCCGTTTTAGCCATTCACTCAAACTAGATGGAATACAAGTTCTTAGATCGACATAGTCGACACCACCAGCGTCAGCTCAAGCGTAGCTGTCGGACATGCTCGTTGACTAAACAACCGCATCGCCCGACACGATCTTATCTCCAGGCACGGCGCGACTTTGCATTGTTTGCATTGGCCTGCGATTGGCGCACAGTGCGCAAATGTAGCGTACCGTCTTGAGCGGTCAGATTGTGCTTCAGGGGTGTCACGCCGTATTGCCCTCACACCGCCTAGGCGCATGTTGGCCCCAGCGGGGCTGAGGTCTCTGCGCTCATGCGCAGGTGACGAAAGGTGCTGAGTGGAGCGAGCCAGGTGAAACAAATGCAAAGGAAACCGAAAGAAGCCTGAGACCAAGCAAGCAAGTAAGCAAGTAAGCAAGTAAGCAAAAGCTTCCCAGCATCTTTAAAATCACACCAAGTGAAGAGGAAACACAACTAAAAGTATCCCAACAAGTGATGAATGAACGCTATCAAAAAGGTTCCTGATTGTGACTTAAAACGGGCGAGAGGAGGAATTCATGTGTGACTCCATGCTTGGACTTGCTTCCCTCGACATCCCCCATTTTGCAAATCCCCAAAATCCCAGAAAAAAACGCGAGCCAGCTGCGGTTAAAAGAACCGCTCGAGCTTTGTGCCGGGCAGCTGAGCATGGTGGCGCTTAAGTTCCTGAAGTACAGCTTACTGGCCTCGCCCAGGGAAAACGCCACGCACAAAACTCGCATGGGTGGCGTTTGGTTTTGGTTGCGGGTGAGAAACTCAAAGAAGTGGCAGGGAACAAGTGGAGTTGCTTTCGTCTTGAAGAAGAAGGTCAGCATGTTCAAAACGACGAGCGTGTGGGAGAACTGCAACATCCAAAAGGCGATCCATCTATGATCAGCTGGCGTGTTGGCAAGGAAGGAGCCCTCTTGCTTGAGTGGGCCGCAGTTACAATTCACCCAAAGTGACGGTTTCAGCCCTCGAGTCTAGCTCGCGCCTCAAGCTCGTATTCTGTATACAGTTGTTGGGACACAGGATCGTTCGCAAAGTCGTTGACTGCCTGCGCATTTCGCCCCAATCAATCAGCCAACCATTGATTAGAGCTCACAACTCGTGAACACTGTAGCCGGACTATCGAGTGGCGAAACCATCAGCAACCAGCCGGTCAAACGAATCCTCACTTGGGGCATTGGCGCACGCATGCCCAATGTCATCAGATTTGTTGGGCAATCCTGGGTAAACAGCACCGCAAAGACGTACACGATGAGCATCAGCAGCACCATGGCCCACATCAAGCTCTTCAGTGTGTGGAAGATGGAGGTGACCAAAGTCCGCAGCGCCACCACAAAACCTCAGCGTTGTGGACTGACGGGCGTTTTGCGGCGCAGGTGCTGTTTGCGGGCTCCTCTTCAAAGCTTGACACGTCTCATGGCCTCACAGTCTGCGGAGCTGAGTCGTGTCCTCCAGCCAAGAAAAAGTCATACCCATCTGCCTCACCAAGAAGCGCAGGATCCGTGCCAGCTGCACCGTCTTAAGGATCCGGGTGATCCGGATGATGCGGAAGGCCTTGTGCAGGTTGGTGATGGTTCACAAATCGGAGATAGGAATGTGTCTCAATCTAAGTGTCTGTTGGAAAAATGCCCAACGAAGGAAGAACAGGACTGAAACCAGTGAAATCCATCTGGCTTCATCACAACTCACCCGAAGGAGGCATATGCGTCTCAAAATGGGGAGACTCCCCTCTTGGTGTCAAAAAAAGAAAAACGTCTGGGAGGTGATTGTCGGCGAAATAGCTGTGACCTCCAAGGGACCGTGATCCCTGGTCGACTTGAAAATCAGAAACGTCTCTCCCTGATGTGTTTCCAAATACGTGTGCATTTGTGGATAAAGAATGTCTCTCAAGTGATGGTTGATTTAATGTTGTATAACTTGAGTTGCTTCCGTTTTTTTCGGTAAACACTATGATCAACCCTTTCCGAATCTACCTTCTGGTTCAAATCCAAACATGACTTCAAACGCACAGTTGAGACACACGTGCAATTGCAACTCTAGAAGATCGAGATTTGACGCGAGAGGTCCAAAAACCGTCGCCATGTGGAGGGGTTCCTTGGCACAAGGCCATAGCTTTTTTGGGCAACGCCCCTGCGCCATTCGAGCAAACTGCTGTCTGCATTGGAAAAATGAGGTGGGCAACCATCCCTGAACATCTCGATGAACCAGGCACGTCTCATCAGTCAACTCGAGAAAAGCAGCTTGCCCGATAGACAAGAAAAGAAGATCATGCGTGGTCGATCAGAACATACAGTAAACTCTGAGCCTTTGATAAGAAGCAATGAAGAGCCTGACCAACAAAAAATCCGAGTGTACCTTTAACAATCCGGAATCAATGGTCGTGCTAGAAAGGGAACCTTATGCCCCAAATGGCGAGAGACAACCAGCACAATCAGCATGCTGCCGAACATTCCCAAAAGCCCCTCTTTATATCATTGGACGTCGTAGCAGCTCACAATGCATTCCGTTTCAGATTTTGAAATCCTCGATTTGACAGGCTTGCAGTAGGCAGTTGAGGCTCATGAATCCTAAATGAAGGCTATGTAAAAAGCACAACAAATTCCACGCTCGCGCACAACAATGGCTCACTGTCGTTGGCAGGCATTTGGGGCGTGACTAACTGCCTGCAGCAGGACCGCAGCCAGAATCAACCAGGTCCCGAACCATCCTTTGTGACCACAGTCCCGAACCATCCTTTCTGATCACAAGCCCACTTCTTTCCCATCTGCAGCTTCCATGCTTGCCATTCAGAATCCGCTCAAGCAAATACTTGCTGGTGCTCAATAGGGGATGAACCAGGGGTTTTGGGAATGAACCCGGTCCCCTAGGAACCACACACGGGACGGTAGGGATCTGTCCCTTCCCTGTGGCATCGCCTGCCATCCGATAACCGGTGCGCCTTGAGGCTCGACAGGCCCGCGATGGAGTCCACGCTGGTCTTGCCGTCGCTGGCGTAGTAGACCACGTCCACAATGACCTCCCAAAAGGAGGTGAGCACAATGAAGACCTCCGTGCGCGAACGAGATGTCGGTTCATATGATCTGACCACATTTGGGGGGAAACCAAAAGGTTTCCCCCGTTGCCATATTAGGCGGACCGATTCCTGCAATGTGCGCCTCGAAACCACCAGGTTTTGTTCAAAAACCGAATGTACCCCTGAGTCAGGTTGGGTCACCTCATCATCATCATCATCATCATCATCATCATCATCATCATCATCATCATCATCATCATCATCATCATCATCAACAACAACAACAACAACAACAACAACAACAAACAACAACAACAACACAACAAACAAACAACAACAACAACAACAACAACAACAACAACAACAACAACAACAACAACAACAACAACAACAACAACAACAACAACAACAACAACAACAACAACAACAACAACAACAACAACAACAACAACAACAACAAACCGGAAGCAAATTTTGCTACAGCTTAACAGCCATGCTCTACGATGCCTGCTCGCGCTGTCCGGGCTGATGGGGCTTGGAGGTGTATGGCCTGCTTCCTTTGAGCTGGCACGCTCATGGCCTGCACAAACATCTGGGATGCCATAGCTCCGCGCCAATCGCAATTCCAAGCAAGCGGAAAAGCCGTCGAGTTGAACCTGCCAAAGTGGGCCATCCCGATGACTACTTCCTACTTTGTCATGTTAAAGGTCTTCCCCCTGGTATCACAGAAAGTGGCCCTTGAACCAACCAACAAAAAAGAAACCTTTGGGGTGCCCCAAAATTGGGAGACCCTCTTTTGGTTGGCATGTTGGAGCGCCCAAAAAAAAAGAATGGGAGAGCCCCCCTTTTGGCAGGCATGCAAGGGGAGACCAGAAGAAAAAAAAGGAAAGAAAAAAGGGAGAGAAAAAGAAAACAAAACAAAAAAACGGCACGAGTCGTCCGAGCAAAACCGAGGCGCGTCCAGCAGCGACCAGATCCAGTCGTCCCCGGCGAAGAGCTGGCGCCCGTTGGCGCAGAGCCTCAGCAGCAGCTCCGCGGCGAAGAGGAAGGTGAAAGAGTACTGGAAGGCCTCGGGTCTCGGGTCTCGGGTCTCGGGTCTCTCGGGTCTCGGGAGAGGTTTGGGAGGTTTGGGGGTTTTGGGGGGGAGGGGAGGGGAGGGGAGGGAGGGAGGGGAGGGGAGGGGGGGGAGGGGAGGAGAGGGAAGGGAAGGGAAGGGAAGGGAAGGGAAGGGGGGCTTCTTTCAAAACTGAGCCCCGCACATTGCGTTGTCTTTGGCTTTCTCAAATCAAAAAAAAAGGGTTGGGCTTGTCTGCCAAGGGAGGTTGTAACCGACATTCATCGGGGCTGCAAATCCCAACCTGCCCATAGGGCACAAGAGTGGTATGGTGCAGGGTCCTGAAACACCGGCTGAGACTGGGGATATGTGGCCATGGGTCAAAAGCCCGTACCCCCAGTGAACATCCCAATCCCCAATAAAATAGACTAAAATGGGTGGCGCACCTACCCCAACATGGTACCATTGGTTGTGCACGGCCATGTCGAAAAACCACACAGCTTCCGGTCTTCCCACCCGCCCCGCTTTGCCACGAGGGCCTGCATGACCGGGGGCCGCTGCGGCGGCACCTGGATGCTGGCCTCCACCTGAACAATCGGACAGGCTTGAGAAGCACGAAGCCAAATTTCCAAGTTTGGGGGTTCGGAGGGTGGCCAGCCTTGTATCAAAATCCCATACTTGCAAAGAAAGCCAAATTTCCAAGTTTCGGGGTTCGGAGGCATACTTGCAAAGAAAGAAAGATCCATTTAAAGATTTGCAACGAAGCGAACACTGACTAAAGGATCGGCTTAGACACCATGACGCCTGGAGGGGGGGGCAATCATGAACGTCCATGGCTGAAACCTGGCGTGTCTCTGAGACCCACCAAAGGGGGTGGGAGGGAGGGTCTCACATGACCAACTGTCAAAGATGGTCTCCACCACCCCCAAACCACCCAAGAGAGGTATTATGCAACCACTACGCAACCACTATGTCAAGGGTATACACCTTGATTAGTATGGTACGAGCAATTAGATTTTCTGGGAGGATGCATGTGATACCATACTATATCTTCTCGAAAGCGTACGTAGTTGAACCTGGCCTCAGAAGTTGCAGTCAGTGTGCATACGCATAAGATGGTTTGGGGGACCATGACGCGATGCAATTCAAGCTCGCCCCGTTCGCTCCAAGGATTGTGCTACCAGCCTGCCCGTTGTATGCGATATATTCGGACTCTCTCATAATCTGACTCCCCTTTCATAAATGTGACTTTCTCAACAATATAGTCATATTTACTTGTACTTGGACTTCTCCTTCAAATGTTGGACTTCTCAGGACTCCTCTCCGGGATTTGCTCTCACATACGCTTCCCCTGGAAAAACCACTTCCCGAGCCTTGGGCTGTCTTGAATTCGGCGTGTCTCTACTCCTGTCTTGGACTGAAGACTTCAGCCGCACTCTCCGTTTCCAAGGGCTACGGGACTTTGGGTCTCTCTCATGAGCTTCTCCTTTTAGCAATCAAACTGTTTCCATGCCACCTGATTTCTCTCAAATCGGACTTGTCTCCAACAACTTGTAGGACTTCTCTCTCATCGGGGAACACCCTTTGACCATACTCGAACCACTTTGCTTCTTCGCTCCTGTACAAAAGAACCTCTCTTTTACCGGCGAACATTGTGCATTTGGATATTTTCAGGCGCTGCTTTCGTACTTTTTGTAGTCATGTTCTTTCGCAACATCGGACTCTTCGAGAATCTTTGCGTCTTTGCGCTGTCGTGGCTTTGCACCTGCGCATCCTCGGTTCTTGGGGCTCATGCCTTCTTGTCTTTGCGCGTGCACGTGTTTTCTCCCGGCTCTGATCTGTTGCATGTGTCTGCGGTTTCGAGCATCGCGCCTTTGTGCGTCTCTTCGTACCTACACACTTCGTTGCACTGCTTGTCGCGTCTTCGCGCGGAGCTTTCTGGACCGCAACTGACGTGCGATGCTGTCTTCGCGGCCATTGTCTTTGCATCCAAATGGCGTCGCGAAATTGCGCTTTGGTTGTCTTCTGAATGTTTGTCAGTCTAGAAATATCGATTTCAATCACGAGTTCGTCTTTGTGCCTCAATGTGGCCGAGAGCTGCATTTTGAGCTTCATCTTCCCCTCTCCGGAACATGGACCTCCTTTCCCATCTCAATACAAGAAATACGCACGCACGCAAATAGCCTCAAAGCCGATGTAGATCGAGTTGAGGATCACAACCTCAGCACTGAGGGCATCTTTGGGTGGATCTGGGCGTGGGTGAGTCCACGCAATACTCCCAAGCTAAATGTTGCAGCATATGCCGCTCCCTTGCATGGCCAGCGCGACCCAACATATCAATATAACCAAAGCAAGCAAAGGGCGAAAGCGCGCATCCTAACGTGCCCATGACCAGACTCGAGCCTGGCTTGGCCATGCATGGCAAATGTGCCGCTCGCAGACTTGCAGTGTGGCGAAACCTCGTGTACCAAGAAAACTAATCCAACAACTGCTTGGGGAGGGACAAACAAGCTGTCGGTCTGGTCGCAATGGGAGCAACAAGTTGTGTTGCACGTTCAGACCAGAAAAATCTTCAGGCAGTAACCCCAGATTGAAGATCCAAAACTGAACACAAAACACCGAAACCTGAAAACCCTGAAACCCGGCCATACAGCTGGACCACCAACACCCATCGCCGGCTTTCTGGTCAAGTCAGCAGCAAAAGAACATGCATCCCGCTTGGATGAACTGGCGGGCCCAACAAATGCAGGTGTGTCACTGTGCTTGTGTCTGGATTGTCATCATTTACATGGGGATTTACGCGCACCAGGCGTTTTTTAGGAACTTCCGTCTCGGAAAATTCATAGCCCCCTACAGAAACCAAGGGCTTGTCACCCACATCCCGTCGCGCCCGAGGTTTAGCCCCGTTTTCTGCAGTGTCCCTCGTAGAGACAGGTTGAAACGCCTAAGCAACAGAGTCAAACCAGACTCGAGGCAAACCACTCCGATTCATCTCCCCCCCACCCACCCACTTTTGGCCGAGGCCGCCATGGAAAAGAAGATGTCGAAGCCGGGATGGTGAACCACCCGGCCGATAAACAGACCTGGCGCTCGATCGGCGAAAGGCTCACCCGAGTTCCCTGACTCAGCCGCTCCATTCTATGACAAGCCGTCAAGCCAGTCACTCAGCCATGAGCCGAAGTCAAAACATGCTCTTGCGTCCCGTTTTGAAACGACGGTCAAACCTCGTGCAGAACAAACGGCCCCACCTGCATTTCTCGCACGGCGGCCCAGGTTGCTCCGGATTGCGAAGCGCATCCGCGAGTTCCTCCCATCCATGCTAGCCTCAGCCAGTACCAGCTTGGTTCCTAACTAGCAGAACGAAAGCGCAGGGAGACTAGATTATGAGGTATCTGCCAGATCAGCCCCAAAGCTTTCTTCAAACCTAACCAGCGGTCGCTGAATTGTTCACGGTCAATTGATCATAAAGACACAAAGACCACAAGTGCTGCGCGTGCGCGACTCTGCTCGCCCCGGGAAAACAGCAGGGCCCAAGCGTTCGCATGTAGCAGAGGCGAGTGTGAGGCTCCAATCCCAGCAAAAAAGCAAGACCAGTATTTGCTTGTACATGCCCCTTATGCTCGCTTGCTCTTTCAGTCGACAAATGGTCATCAGTTGCTCATTTGCTCACCTCCCTAACTCAGCCGGAAGAAGACATCCGGCAGAAATCAAAATGACCCATGGCAAAGGAAAGCTTTATCTCTGCCAATGGGCAAACCAAACGATAACGCCATCTTCGTCATGTAACTTGCTTAGGAATATCCAGCAGCAGACCACCTCGTTTGGGGCATAGGAACACCAGCCACAACCCCATTGAGCTAGACCATCGAATGAACCTAACGCTTCCTGTGGGCTTCCTGAACGTGCAAAGCCACAAGGCCGGCAATGCCCAAACCATACACCATTCACGCCGCTTGCTTGATTCTCCGAGAGGCTGCCGCATCCTGCAAACCAATCTGGTGGCAGGTGTAGGTGTTGAACAGCTTCGGAGAAGTTGGCTCATGAGAAATTGGCTCCTTAGCTCCAACCAGAACCAAGGGCAGGCTCAATGTTACGCGATCTCTTCTTGCCAAAAGGCCTCTTATCACAAGTCCCCTCAAGCGTGGGGAAAAACATGTCGCTTGCCTGCTTATAACCAAATGCCAACAAGTCAGAGGTAGCAATTTGTTTTGACAGGGCGTCCCATGCTTTCCCGATAAACCGCAGCCACCACAAGGAAACTCAATTAAACTTGGCAACAAAAAGGTGCCGTTGAAAGCTACAAAAAGGGGGAAAGAGGTCCCCTGTTTGACCCTGTCAAGTTTGAGACATCTCCTGCCTCATTCGCGTCCTCCGGCTCCTCCTCCGAAACCACCTCCACCTCGGCCTCTTGGGGGTTAGGGAAGGGACGCGTGATGCGGCGAACATTTGTTGAAAGGAACCTGGGAACGTCCTTACAACGGCCAATTCATGTCATCTGCCCCAACGGCCCTCAGAATGCACAAATTCCAACGCTGCGTCCGTGTTTCGGGGCTGTCGAGAGTTCACCTCCAACCAGGGTCCAGCTTCCCCAACTTGCGAAAGGGAACGGAAAGCGATTCCTCGGCAGCAATTGTGGATGCGGCCGAGCATGTTGTTTATGGTGTCCCCAAAACCCAAGCTCAGAACGGCTCTAAACAAACCCTAAATGACTCAACCCCAAAACCCTGAACCTTAAACTTAAGCTGATAAACAAAATCCAAAATCCCAAATCCTAAACCTAGACCCTAGAATGTGTAAACCTGAGCCCCCAAAATCCATTCAAGCACCCTAAACCCAAACACTAAAACCCCCTAAAACATCTTAAAACCCCTAAAACCCCTAAAACCCTTAAAGCAACTCTTGAAAACAAAGCCCTACTAGCAAAAGCCTCAAACCTAAACCCTAAAAGCCCTGAGCCTAAACCGAGAAAACTCAAAGACCTAGCAAGATGCTGGCGGCGAAGCGCATAGATTGGGGAGTTTATTTTTTTAGGGGCTCACCTTCCGGATGAGGCGTCACAGAGGAAGCGCAAGGAAACAGCCAGTCTTAGGGTTCCACAACTCTTGGAACATTCACCTGACACAACAGGCTCTGTGAAAAGTTGGTTCTAGATATAGGGTGTGTGTGTGTGTCTGTGTTTTCTCTTCAGGGTACCCTTTTCGGGTGGTTTCAATGGGAAGCCAACAGAAAACCACCATCTGGGGTCCCCCTATTTCGACACACACCCATTTCCTTACCAGCTGTTTGCGTTCATAGCTGTTTGCGTTGATGTTCGCCGGCTCCCACACTTTCGGGGTTGCTTCCCTAGTGGTGATCTGGCAAATAGTCTTTGACTCACTAGTGATTTGCCGCATGTGCACCCGTCTACCGGTGGCACTATCATGGGTGTGTGACGCGTTACCCGCTTGAAACAGGTGACAAGTGGCTCACACAATTGGCCCACTCAGCCCCCCCCCCCATATCAACCAAACAACCACCCAACAAGCGACTACAAACCATCCTCCCCCTTGAGATCCTTATGAACTGGCTCTAGGTCACCTCGTAATATCGGTAATATGAAGGTCGCTGTTGCTGATCTAGATTGCGACAGCACAAGAGGGAAGGCGCCTTTGATGGCAGCTAGGCCTAAAACACCACAGCCCCTCCGTGCCAGCCTTCTTTTCCCAGGTGAGCTTGTCCGACTCGCAGGGGCTCATGTTCGTGCTGGTCTGAGCGAGCGAAAGCCGGCTTCGGGCTGCTTGATCCCCCTCGGATGCCAAAAAGAAACCCATGGAACCAACTTTCCGGGCCCCAAACGGGGGCTAAGGACCCCACCCATAGGTTTCAACCATGGACATGACTCCCTTTGACCTGTACCAAAATCACGGCTGCGATGGGACCCAGTTCAGTTCATGAGGTTCGCGGCCCCCACTGTTCTCCCCAAATGACCAGCAGCTGTGGTCAATAATCCCAGCTCACAGTGGTAAGCAATGAAAAATGCCCAGTTTCGCCAAGGCTTCAAGCTGCTTCGGGCACAAATAAGTGCCTCGCATGTGAGGTTTCGCCGCGCCCAAACTTAACAATGCAACTTGACATGGAACGCAGTTGCAGTGTATATCATGTATTCCCCTTTGGGGACCTCTTTTGGGGTTTCATGTTGAGAAGTCGGAACGCAAACCCGATTGCCTGCCACGACGGGTTGGACGCTCTCGGGTTCTCGAGCCTTGGTTTCCAGGGGATTCCACTCGTACATTGCCACTTTCGGTCGGGGGGATTGAGCCATTTCTGAATCGGAAACGAACCGGGGTGGCCGTGTCTTAGTTGCAACTCAGGTTGGACGCGTGACGTGCGATGGGAACCACAATGGATATACCTCCCGGGTCCACAAGTGGCCAACCTAGAGATACAGTTCGGATGTTTGAGCCACACATCTCAGCTCGTTCCCTAGAGGTGGAGGCTGTCACCCCAAGTTTGCATTGTGTGGAGTTGCCTGTGAAAGTGGGGGAGCCAAAAAATGACTGTACCTCCTTTCATGGCACCAAAGGTCAAGAAGATCGTAAAAGTGGAGAAAAGTCCATTGTCGAGTGGTTGCTCAGAGCCACCCACCCCACCCCCAGTCTCAGCAAAATGTCAACGCTCTCCAGTGGTGAGGTAATATTGACCCCAGATTTATCATCCTGCGCTTCCTCAACAAGTACAGTAAAGGAGCACCCTCCGCCAATCAATCAGGACAAAACCGATCTTGAGCTGAAAAGGCTCGGAGTCTGGAGTCTGAGACATCCGCCTCAGGACCCCCTTCTGGTCCCTCCAGAAAAGGAAGTGACAATCGTACTTGAACCAGAAGGGCTGGTCACTTGCCATGAGTATGGACGACAAGAGGTTGGCCCCCATTGGGTGGTGCAAGTGGTTGCTCAAAGAACCAGCATCACACCAAGCGTGGGACTTACGTCAAAACCAATGGCAGATGTGCTGAAACTTCCTTTTTCCCTGACAGCTGAAAACTTTGGGGCCTCAGCCAAGATAGGCTCGGGGGCGGTCCGGGGCGGCTCTGAGCCTAAGGTCAGGCAGTTCCACCCAAAACAGCCTCAGAAAAACCGGCGATGGTGGATTGGTCCGGTTTTGGTCGGGCCCCGATGGTGCCGTCGGGCCCCGATCGGCCGGCTGCACCGCAACAGCTAAAGCGACATCCTATGCAAAACCGGCGGTGGTTTGGATGTTTGCTCCTTGGACCCCAGCCGGGCACCAATTGCACCGTCACCCTGATCGGGGCCGGCACCGTCGGCTGCGCAGTAACAGCTAAAGCGACGAAGCAAAACCGGCGGTTGCGCTATGATGGTCGCTTGGATTGGTGGTTAGCTTCCCGGGCCCCGGTCAGGTACTGATTGCGCCGGTCGGGCCCCGTCGGCTGTACCTTTGCACAGGTAAACTGGCATCCGAAGCAAAACCGGCGGTGCGCTCTGATTGGTGGCTTGGATCGGCGGTTTGCTTCTTAGGCGGCAGTCGGGCCCGAGCACAAAAAAAGAGCACCGCATGCTGTTGGGGATATCACCTGAGCTTATTACAACCTCCGAAAAAAAAACAAAACAAAAACGCCCACGTGGGGCAAAAAAAACGCTGGGCCCTCCAATGTCTGCCCGATCGCCGTGGCGTTTCGGAGCCAGGGAGCACCCGCAGCAGCAAATGGTCCTGCCTCTGGAGCTTCTCCATAAGCTCGCCTGAAAATATCCCCATAGCCCCAAAAACTTGTGCCCTCCAAACATGCGTCGTTTGTTGAAACCGACAAAAAGCAAAGAACGGAGTCCCAACAAGTATTCAGCTCCAAAGCATTGCTTCGAATTTCCGTCCAGGAATTTCGTCTTAGGCTCTGAAGGCCAACTAACGTGGGGGCTCTCCGCCTCATGTCGGTTTAGGGTTAGGTTTCGGGTGGCTTTAAGGTTGGCATACGGTTTGCTGAGGGTTTGTTTAGGGTTGATGTTTGGTGGCTTAGAGATTGTTTAGTGCTGGTTTACGGCGGGTTTAGGGTTTGTTTAGTGTTTGTTTAGTGTGGGCTTGTTTAGGGCTGGTTTAGGTTCGGGTTGAGAGTTGGCTTAGGCGGCTTAGTGGTTTGGAAGTTGGTATAGGGTGGGTTTGGCGTTGCTACAGTACAGGGTTGCGTAGGCTTTGTTTAGGCTCGGTTTAGGTGTTGTCGAATACGCAAAAAGATCTCAAATAAACCGGTTCAGTTTTGGGGTCCTGGGCGGACGGGAGGGATTGGTGCCTCTTCGAATCAGAAAGGGGTATACGGGTCTCATGACTTTGCCACTTTTGACGGGTTTTTCCTGGTATTACAGAAGCCGGTTGTAACCCCCCCCCGTAAGAGGGAAGAGTATGTAAAATGTGCCGGGGAGAGAGTTTGCTTCTGTCTGGGCATAAACATCACAAATTTTACTTTTTCTGAGGGCTGGCATTCAGGCAGATTTGGTGGGAATTAATTGTGTAAATTACAAGCATTGATACTAATTTACAAATTTTCAAATCTATAGATTTCAACACTCCAGCCCACTGATACAAATTTACAATTTCTGGAAATTACAAATTTTACTTATTAATTTGTAAATGGTGTAATTTCTCAGACTAGAACGTACAAGAGATAGTGAAATTTGGAACTATGGGGCGGATGTTTGTTCAGATTAATTTGTAGATTTTACAAAATTTCAGCAAAAAACCCTGCCAAAAAACATAAACTTCACAAATTCTAGTCTGAGAAATGTCAGCAATTTCGGTAGGAATTAATTCTGGTCCAAAATTACAAATTTTACAAAATTTTACAGAGAGTTTGATAGGAATTAAACTACAAATTTTATAAATTTACATTTTTTACAAAATAGTTTGCAAAACGTGTAAAATTTCAAAAAAGTCTAACTACAAACCTTACAAGTTTACATTTTTACAAATTAAGTTGAAAAGTTTGTAAGACTTCAAAGACCTCGTCCAAAATTACAAACTTTACAATGTCTAGTCTACAAGTTTTACATATTATGCATTTTTACAAACTACTTTCTGAAATTTCATGAAATTGGTCCAAAACTACAAATTCTAACAAATTTTGCAAATGCTAGTTTGAGACATTGGCAATTTAGCAGGGATTATACAACAGTTTTCAACATTTTTGCCAAATTTTACAAAATTTAAACGTTAATTTGTAACTTTTGTAGCATTAATATAACCTGGTCCAAAATTCTCATTTTTTGCAAATTTGCAAACTAATTCGTCAATTTGTAAATTTTGTAGTTTTTCAAACTTTACAAACTTTAAATTTTGTAAATTTTGTAGAATTTGTACTTTACTACCGAATTCCCGTGGAAGCCAGATTCTCAGACTAGAATTTGGAACCCGATTTTTTCAAAACGTTACAAACTAATTTGTAAATTTTGTAATTTTGTAATTTTGGACCAGATTTTTCAAGTTTTGCAAAATTTGTAAAATTTGTAATTTATCTCCTACCAAATTCCCCTGGAAGCCAATTTCGCAGACTAGAAGTTATAAGATTTGTAAGATTCGTAATTTTGGACCAGATTTTTTTGACGTTCTGCAAACTTACAAACTAACTTGTAGAATTTGCATATTTGGATTTTATTTCCACCCCAATTCCAAATTTCTCAGAGTAATGCTGGGCTTAGTCGTTTTGAAATTTCAATTTCAAATTAACTTGCACAATTTGTAAAACGCTTAGGTCTAAACCATATTTGTTGGAATGTTGCAAATTTTACAAACTAATTTGCAAATTTTGTATAACTTGTAACTCAATTCCAGCCAAATCTCCCCGGGAAGCAAATTCCCCAGAGTAAGTTTCAATGTCAGAAAACATCCGATGTAGAACTACATTGTGCGCTTGCACAAACATTGCCCGGAGGTTGATCCAGAATTGACAAGTAAAGGTGTAAACATTGTAAACTTGATAGAACTTCATCACCGCCCTTCCCTTAACGGCTCGTTTTTGGGTCAAGGTTGTTTTCATTTTGAATCGGTTGAAGTTTGGTAAGGAAAGGGGGAGGAAAGCATGCGATCTTTCATTTGGAATCTCTCTTTTCTGATATTTTCGTGTCTTTGGTTTTCTTTAGGATCGCGAGTTCATACTCCTTTCTTTGTCTCTCACTTTCTCCCCTGACCAATTCTTCCTACAACCAACTCAATAATTAGGATGGAAAGGCAGGTATAGGTAAGGGAGAGAGGGCATCTTCTGTAACACGCGTCTTTTGGATAGCTTTCACACCATTCATATCTGACCGTAAAAATAGAAAGACCTGGAGAAGCTGCTGGGACTGTTGGGATGGAGTGACACATGCTGTTGCCCTTTCCGTCAAACTTAATTTGTATCTCACAGGTTTTATCGCATACCAGGTTGGACCAAGCGATGAAGGTAAGGGAAAGGTATGAAAGAGCATAGAATGATCACTATTATCATCATTGTAGTCGAATTTGAATTGATAGGAAAGTATAAGAAGAAAAGGTCCAACATCTTCTTATTCATACTATGTTGCTTGTATCTACTATCTTTTGGACCTTTTCATCCTTCACCTTCTTCTGTCTCCCTTTCAACCCTCGAAGAATGCCAGAAATCGAGGGGTGAAAGGAGGGAGAAGCTAGCCCCCCATTCCTTGTTTCAACTGTATCGCTAATCGGGAAAAGATTGGAAGCAAATGAACCGTTCCATCTTTACCTTTCCCTTCCCCACTCCACGCTTACGTTCTGGAGTTCTGTCACTGCGAAAGACTCACGATGGAACAATCTAAAAGTGTGATGAAGGAGGGGGATATTGGCTTTATATTTGGTTCACTTGTACTAATAGAAAACCAATAATTAATATATTTTCCCATCGTCTTCTTCTTCTTCTTTCCACAACCCGCTTCTTTCAGTAAAAAACAAATGGAAGAAGATGACCTTTCCTTTCCCGGCCCAGCCAAGAAGAGTGACATGGGCGGGAGGAAAGGACGCTTGCCATTTCCTTGCCTTGTCTTTTACATTGCCATGTTTTGGACATGAACAAGTACAGCATCTGGAAAGGAGTTAAGCGCCCATCAATACTCATTGAAGATAAAGAATTGGACGGGCGCGTGCCATGCCACTCTATCACTTTTCCTTTTGGTGAAATTGAAGATTGAAAATGGGAATTGATAAGCCTCGCTTGACTTCTTCCTCAAGCATACGCTGCTATTAATCTTATGCCGCGCGATGCTTGGGAAGAAGAAGAAGCAGAGAAGATAGGAGAGGGTGAACAGAATTAACGTGATTTTTCTTTTCCTCCGTTCGCACCCTCTTTTTCCCATGTAACCTCCCGCCAAAAGCTGGCGCAAGCGATAATGTACATAGCTTCGTCGCTTCCTTGTGTCTCGCTTCTAGTGGTAGCGTTCTCATCGAGGATGGCATTTCCCAGAGATTAGCATGTGTCAATTGGTTTTACATGCCATCTATTCATCCTGTATTTGTCCACGCTCTTGGACGTCCCCTTCATTCACAAGGACATGCTCAACGTGATTCCCAGAGCACCTTACCCGTTCCCGCTGTCACCCGCCACATCTTCAACCCATAAAGATTTGACTACAACATCCTTGAAACCCTTTAATAGCAAATGCTAGCCGTATCTCTTCTTTTGCCAATAATCTTCAGGAAATGAAAGGACAATAATAGAGTTTTAGATCATAGGATGGTGTAAGGACTGGGTTCTTCTCATCGCGGACGAGAGGTTGGTCAGGTTGGTTCGTGGTCCCAACAGCTTGTATCCTTCCCCTTGAGGAAACGCTTGTAATCCTTGACATGTCGATATTAAGATTATTCCCTTTCGGTTTAGCATCCCAGTAATTGATTGAATGTCTACCTTTGTTGTCTTCTATTCGCAGCACTCTCTGAGAAGTATAGAAATGCTTCTGGGTGTGAAGTTAAATGCATTGGCGATGCAAAGATTTCATGATGGTTGAAGCAGAAAGTTAATCATTACCAAGGATAGGTTCATACTCTCTCCTCTGGTGGTTGCATTCTCATGTACTGTTTCACTTTGCAACCTTTCTACCTATTTATATTTAACACGATCTTCCCAATCTCTCTTTCTCTCTCTCTCGTTGTAAACTTTAGAAGCATCTGGATGGAGACAAACCTGGGGGGATGGGATAATAACAAACATGAAGAAGAGGAACTGGCTAGCCCTCCTTCTGCTCTCCCGTCTTTCGCGGCTATCAGGAGTAGTAAGAACTACGAAAAAGGGCTATGAAGAAGCATAAAAAATAAATACATGGATAACAAATACATAAGTAAATAAATAAATAAATAAATAAATAAAATAAGCAAATAAATAAATAAATAAATAAATAAATAAATAAATAAGCAATTACATAAGTAAATAAAGAAAAATATAAAATATAGAATTAAGAATATGAAAGTGATAAATAACGGTAACAATTGCAACGGTTTATTGCTTACCTCGTCCTCAAGTCAGTTTCATTTGGAGCCAAAGTATTCTTGTCCATCAATAACCCTCTCCAACACAGCGAAAAACCTAGAGTGGAGAATGATGGGTATGGTAGAAAATGCAATAAGAAAATAAGACAAAATAAGATATGAGATTACCAAGATTCTGTAATTATTGCCCTTAAGTTCACCCTGTGACCGCTTCATCCAAGCTACGCAAATAGATTGGAGAAGATATTAGTGCATGATGAAGAATAAATGCAAATTATGACCATGGGTTATTTGACTCTGAAGAAGCTGTTGGTCTTTTATTCATGGAATTTATGTATTTGCACCTTCTTTCTGCTTATGTCCTATTAGCGTTTCCTTGCAAAATCTCTCACTCACTTCCTATCTTCTCCTTAGATATGTGCAATCTTCTGGGGTTTTAGGTGAAAATGAAAAGCATATTAATTATAAAGCTGTTGGAAAAGGACGGAATACTATTAACAAATATTTCTACTAGAATGTCACTAGTACTATTAACTAACTTGTATCGGTTGGGGTTCATTCCTCAGCTTCTCTTTCTAATGGGTTTCCTTTTGCCTCCCAAGCTAATAGTTGTAAAATCCGGCTGAATCTTCACTAGTAATATTTCCAACATGTTCATCGCTAGAAGTGACCGAAGGAAGTCAATATGTTTTTCCCATCACAATATTGCCTGTCCAGATAGAGTGATGAAAGAAGAGACGCTTAACAGTTAACTATTACCCAAGTGACTTCTCACGGACAGGCTGCGTCTCCAGACACCCTTTTCTATCTCTCTGATTGTTCTTTCCTTCTATGTTTATTTGACCAGCATTTGTTTACTATTTACTTCTTCCTGATGACATTCGATCTTCTCTAACTCTGTTATCTGCTACTGTGGCTTTAATCATTTGATTCTTTGTAGCAATTTCCTCTTTCTATTCCCATGTTGTATCATTGTGAGCTGGCAAACGATAAGGTGGGAAAAATATGGAAGTGATAGATAGGATGTGAACATTGTTTTTATTTCCATCAATATTACATCACGAAGGTATACCAAATGCTTTTATCACACTCTGTCACAACCAAAGAGAGGATGTTGGAAGCATCTGGTCTTCATCATCCCTCGCCCTCTTTTCTAGTAATACAAATTAGCTGGTTCTGATTGAGGGCGAGGCATGGCAAGACATTCCTTTCTACTCTTGGGATTGCACCAAAAGATAAGGGAGAGGCCTTGACAGCCCTTAGGTTCTCCCGCCTGTGCCGGCATGCCCTTTTGACTCGGATTCATTCATTGCAGTCCATGTGCAACGATGAGCCGTTGTGCTCTTGAAGGCGCGCGGCGGCACATTGCCACACACACCCCACACCCGGGTACCTAAGCGAGTGTGGGTTGGATTGGGTTGGGTTTGGTGGGCGAGCAGGGCTTGGGGTAGTTTTGGGTTAAGTTGGTTTAGGTTGGTTCAGGCTGGTTTAGATTAGATATAGCTGTGGGTCAGAACCAATGGTAGCATTTTGGGGTAGGCACCACCCATGTTAGTCTATTTTTTCTGCGGATTGGGATGTTCAGTGGGGGTACGGGCTTTTGACCCATGGTCCTATGTTTAGGCTGTTGGCCAGCAGCGTGATGTGGGAGGTGTTCACCTTAGCAGCCAGCAGCCCTAGCGTACAAACGATCCCTAACCACAAAAGATCACCCCGAAAACAGACCCCAAGTAAACCCTATGCCAACCCTAAACCCACCTGAAACCAATTCTAAACTAACCCCAAACCCACAAACCCACATTAAACCAGCACCACTAAACTATCTCCTATCTCCAAACCAAACTTAACCGACCCTGATCTGCCCCTAAACGCTAAACCCTAAACCCTAAACCACACCTAAACCCACCTCAAACCCACCCCAAAAGACACCCTACAAAAACCTGAAACCCAAACCAACCTTAGACCAACCCTAAACCAACTCTGAACCCTACATCCACCCTAACCAACCTTACACCAATCACAAACCCACCCCAAACCAACCCTAAACCAACCCTAAACCCACCTGAACTCCAGATTTAAACCACCCTAAATCAAACCGAATACCAACCCTAAACCCGCCCGAAACCAACCTTAATCCAACCCTGAAACTCATCCCAAACCCGGCCCAACCCCCATCAAAAAGAACTCCGCTAAGTGGAACGGCGAGGCACTGTGGTGTTCCTTAAGCATCCTCGCAAGCTGGTCCTCGCGAAGCCGGGATGTCAACACGCCACCCTCCTGACTTCACAAGTGGCGTTGCCACGGCTTGAACAAGCAGTTCAGAACAACGGACAAATCATGAAAACCTCGACTGCTCTCTGGGCTCAAAACTTATCTAGCGAATCCATTGGAAGAATGGCTAATCCATCGAACTCCACGAAAGCGAGGACGACCCCCAAGGCCTGCGCCCTTCCCACAGGGCAACCGAAAACACCGTTGCCAGCTGGCCCTTCCTTCCCTCGCAGTGGCCGCGGACTGGGAAAGTTGACTGTTCGTGATGGGCTCCCTGAAAGATCAGTAGCAAAGAGGTAGTGGCAAGCACGTCGAAGGCTTCGGCCGGTGGGCTCTGGAAAGGTGGCGCATGGGGGGCCGATCCGCAGTTGCATCGACCTGCACCCCTCTGTTGAGGAACATTCGAGGCGCATGTTGAAGTCACAAAACACATGACGCTGGCCATGAAAATAAATGCTCCATCATAAAGCAAGGCGGCACGGCACTTTAGCTGTCCTCCAAAGCAAGCAAATGGAAGAATTTCAAGAGGGTTCGACAACGGAAGGGGCAACAGGTGCGCTCTCGCGCTGGAAAGGAGTTCTAACAGGTGCATGCCCCTCCGGAAATGGAACGACCGACTGGATTACTGGGCAACTTTCCACCGAAAATCCATAGGCCACTTTGATAGCCTCCCTCTCCCCTACTCCGCCGTCTGTCTACCAATTCTCTCCCATCTGCCGTCCTCCCTGCCGCTCCACAAGTGTCCCGGGTTCGCCACCATCGTCTTGGGCACACTTTCCAGGCCCTCCTGAGAAGTCAGGCGCATTTGGCGTCTCCCATTTGAGTGGCGTCTTGTTTTGGAGGGTTCCGAGAGTTCCCATGTTCAGGTTTGTTTGAAGGGAAAGAAAGAATTTGGGCCAAGATGAGCCTGGCTCCAAATCACCTTCACAGACGTGCGTCCGAAGTTCCCTCAACGGGGAAGAATCCCCCAGCCCTTTCGTTCACAGCGAATGAAAGAGTGGATGATCATCCTGGTCAACTTCTGACCGTGCGTGTCTCCTGCCGCTCTTTTTATGCGAGAGATGGCAAGCAAGTCCATGTCGACCGAACCACAACTTTGGAGAGCAATGCGCCAACATGCCCCTTGCAAATCAGATCGGCCATCACCAAACTTCGCCTTTTCCCAAGGAAAGGATCTGCTTCCCGCATGCGGGCACGCCTTCGGCGAGTGTTCCGAAGCGGGGTCAACTGGTCTCTGGCATCACCGACATGAACCCCTTCAAATGGGACCCGCGACCCAGGATGGAGGCTGAGCCTGCCAAAATGGGTGAAGATTGTTTCCGCCTTTTTGGCAGAGAAACTGAAGGGGAACCAACCATCTTTGGGCAGAAATCCTGGCTTGGCTGCTAAAAACACCTGTCTGCATTCTCGTCTGAGCAATGGGACAGTGACAGCCCTGCAACACTCTTGCAAAATAAAACTGTGAATAAAACGATGGGCATCCTTTTTGAGGGGAAAACCCTTTTGACTGGCCGAATAATACAGTACGATGCTTCAGCGAACCGTGCAACTGTGCAATAGCGGGCTCACATACCTGCAAACACGAGAGGCTGTCTCAGATGTGTGAGGGAATGCCTGAGACTATATGTTTTCCTGCACGTTAAAACAAAAAAAATGGCACTGCCAGACCCCTGACAAAACGAAACCGACAATTCTGAGTCCCCCCAATTTTGAGACAAACTCGGGTCAAGCTGGGCCAATAGTTTTACGGTAGTCGCTCGGATCACATGTCTGGCGACTTTATCCCTGCCAGTTCAAGCTTCGCGAAAGCAGACGCCTGCCAAACCCAAAACCAGCGCCTGAACCCCCTCCTCCACTCACCCTCCCCTCCAGAGTCTCCCTCAGACCTTAATTAAAAGAAATGAGATCGTACCCTGCGACTGCAATGAGAGATCCCCCAAACTCGCCGCTTGCTCGCTCCTCGCGCGGCGGCTGGAAGTCTGCCATCGCTGCGCCGCTCAGGCGCGGAGTGCGGAGTGCAAATCCAGGGTACGTTGCCCAGAATTTCCTTCAAAAACATGACATCAGCAGGATTGCCGCGATAGATCTTGGAGTCTGAATTATGCTCGTGTTTGCCTAGTATTGCTTCGTCAAAACATGGTGCCCTACGAGTCCGTCTATAGTTCCCATAGCCCTGGAATGAAGTGCGCGGGTGCTCTGGAGACAGCTGCATTGCAGGGCAGGCGCGCATCCCCACGCCCAAACACCCATTGACCGAACCCTCGACCTTGAGGGGGAACCAGAATCGGGATTCCACTTCATCCCCGCGAGAAAATGGAAATGAAATTCCAGAGCTGGCCTGCATGAAGGAGACGTTGATCCAGGCATGAGGTCTCTCTGGGACACTCTGATCGAAGCCAGAGAGCAAAGCCCCTCGTCCACGTGATGAGGTTGGGCCCTGAAATTTGCGCAGCGTGGAACCCAAGTATGCCGGTCAAATAAGAACCTGCTTTCAGGGTTCTTGCAAGTAGCGGAACTCGACAATTGATCAGTTGAACTTCGCTCTCGCATCAGTTCAAGCATTGCACCCATTGGGTTATTGATAGGTGCTGAAAGCCTAGAGCTCGCTTCGGAATCTCAGCAACACACTTGTGACCCGTTTCCCGATGAGTGAGACAAGACATGGCAAATCCAAATCCTGGGGCCTAACTTCATGGGACGAAGCTCGAAATGGTTGGCTTCCTTTTGATCTGAGACAATCCGAAAAAATGCCTCCCAGTTCGAAAGCAATTGATCCCGTGTGCTTCGTTGGCCGAGGTTCTTCCCCGGCCCGGACTCCCTTCCCAGCGATAGGGCCAGCGCAGCACAGAAGACCGGAGAGAAGAAGAGAAAGATGGAGCCTGGAACTGTCCCAGCTCACAAAACTTCGCCCCTGCACATGGGCTAAACCAAAAAATCCCTTGCAGCTGCCACACGACTAAGCCGCGGGAGGAGAAGTTCTCAAAGCCTTTAAACGCACAAGAGACACTGACAGGTGCAAATGGAATGGTCCCATCAGGAACTGGCTATTAGTAGCTCAAGCTGGCTCTTGGTCTTTGGCCCTGCAACTGCTCACGGCCAAGCGCCCGCACCCAGGAAGTAATTCCGGGCAGAGAGGATCTGGTCGGTTCGCAGCAGCATCAAGGTGATGCCGCAGAACACGAACATGCCTACACAGAATCGATGGCCTCACTCCGGAAGGTTCTAGTTTCATAGCTCAAGCCACACGGGCCTTTGGTTCACAATGGACTTGCACCCACTTGCGCAGACCTGATGAGTATCATGTGTGAGAAAAGTGCTTCTCTCCTCAAGTAGAAGCAGAAAAGCTGGCCTTTGCATCAAAGTGTTGGGGGGAAATGTGATGATGATCCTGCCTCGGTATTTATGGATACGGTGTTTATGGATAATCTGCAACCTTCCACCAGCAATGACAACCCATCTTGACTGCGTGTTCTTGCGGGAAGCTAACACAGTCTGCGCTTGCTTGGAGCAGAAACAGAACGACTCGTGTCAGCCAGACAGTGAACTCAACCTATCAGCCCAACGCATCTGCAGCGTCGAAGCGAGCTGCCGAATCTACCGAACGCAAGCCAACTGAATCACCAAACCTGAAGCACCAACTCCGTCGGGCTGAGCCAGCCTGAAGCCACTCAAGCTCCAGCCTGCCCATGCAGCAACAGGTGCAGCAAGCTCCGTGCACACATAGGCCAGGCCTTACCCCAGCAAGATCGCAGTCCGCCCCCATCAAGGCCAGGGTGCCGACACTACCAAAAATTGCTGTCCGTGATGGCGTTTCTTCTTCAATCCGCATAGGCTGCATACCAACCAACCAACCAACCAACCAACCAACCAACCGACCGACCAATCAACCAACCAAGCACCGGTCGACCGACCGACCACACAAGAAAGCAAGCAAGCAAGCAAGCAAGCAAGCAAGCAAGCAAGCCAGCAAGCAAGCCAGCAAGCAAGCAAGCAAACAAGAAAGAAAGCAAGGAAGCAAGAAAGCAAGAAAACTAGAAAGCAAGAAGGCAAGAAAGCAAGAAAGCAAGGAAGCAAGAAAGCAAGGAAGCAAGGAAGCAAGGAAGCAAGGAAGCAAGAAAGCAAGAAAGCAAGAAAGCAAGAAAGCAAGGAAGCAAGGAAGCAAGGAAGCAAGAAAGCAAGAAAGCAAGGAAGCAAGAAAGCAAGAAAGCAAGAAAGCCAGCCCGCCAGCCAGCCAGCCAGCCAGCCACTGCAAGCAAGAGAGCCATCGATCGATCGATAAATCAAATCAAATCGAGTCAAGTCAAAACAAATCAAATCAATCAAGACACAATCACACAAACAACAAACAAACAAACAAACAAACAAACAAACAACTAGCAAACCTAAAAACAAACAAGCAAGAAGCAAGCAAGCAAAGCAAGGCAAGCAAAGCAAGGCAAGCAAAGCAAAGCAATGGAAAACAAACAACAGACAAACAAACAAACAAACAAACAAACAAACAAACAAACAAACAAAGCAAGCAAGCAAGCAAGCAAGCAAGCAAACAAAGCGATGGATGAGCAAACAAAGAGGCTCCCATCACGCAACTACAGACAGTGTATTTGTCTGCCGTCATACATGCAGATTGTCACATTGTTGCTGGTGGTACTGCTGGTGCCAGCGGCAGGAAGGCGCTTTCTCTTGCAAAAAAAGCAGCCGGGCCGGACCTCACCGATATGGCACCGCGCATGACAAGCGCTTTCCGTCTTGGCAAGCAGCAGTAGAAGCAGAAGAAGGTCGCCAAGGAGCTCGTGCCAGCCTCCCGGTCTGATAGACGTTTCAGGGCGCCAAAAGGCCTTCGGTGAGATAAACGCCACTCAAACCAGCTTTTTAAGAAGAGCCGCCTGTTTTCAACCAGAGGGTGTGAAAGCTTCGTTCTGAGTTGGGGCTAAGTGCTGGCCTTGGTTTAGGCCCCGCGAGGGATGAGTTCTGGGCCGGTATTGGGGCTCCGAAGCTATGGATCAGACTGACAGTTGAAGTGAATTGGTCCCCCTCTATGAGCAAAACTCCTCACCAGACAGAGAGGGAGAGAGAAGAATGGAGTGCACACACAAATCGCATCTGCAAGATGATGTCCAAACTCGCAAAGTCATTCAGTTTTTCTGAAAAGACACGTCAACTCTCCCATGGAGGCATGGGAATCCTGCGTTCAATCGCGTGCCGCATTTGCTACCCAACATTGTATGTGGCTGAAGCGTGGAAAAACACCAAGCTTGGGAAGGCAAGCAAAGAGCGATGGCAAAGATTCAGCAACATAAAGGGCTTTTCGGCTCCTGGCGGGCAATGAGTCGTCACTATTCATCTGTTGCTCCCGCATACGATGTACATACTGCACGTGTATCATGTCAGTAGATGAAATGGCTAAGCGTTTCAACGCAATGTGACCTTAGGATTCCCATGGTTTCGTCACGCATTTCAAATTCCCTTGTGTATCTCGAAAGTATGAACAAGTCGAGGGCATGAGCCCTTCCTTTACCAAGGGGACCAAGCTGAAATGTGTCAGTTTGGTTGAATATCTGTCAGGGGTCAGCTTCGGGCTGTCTCAGAGTCTGTCGAGGGCCCGTGCCAGGCAACCCCCTTGCTTTCACTTCGGGCGCCCCGACGCTCATAGACACGCGGCAGAAGGCATCGTAGGTGGTGAAGTACCTGAAGGTCTCACTTGCACGGAAGGTTAAGCCAGGACCATATGGGTGTGGAATTGAATTCATTGACCCCTTGGTGACATCATTTGTATGGTTGGAGTTATGTCCACCATCTGTCAAGGTTGCCCAGTAGATGGCGACTGATCTGCTTTTGCTTAAATGGCTACAAATCGGAAAACCAAAAAGGAAGGCGGTCTGAAGGAGGTTAATGCCATGATTTCTGAGGTGACAGCCGCAGAAACTGACTGATTGGTGTGCGCCACTGAAATGATACTGGGGCATGGCAAATTATGATAATCATGATGATGAGGAGCAGGAGCACGACTGGCGGTGTTGGAGGTGCTGGTGCTGGTGCTGGTGGTGGCGGCGATGATACCGATGCTGAGACACGACTGTTGCTATGGAAGCTTGACAAAAAAAAGGGGGGGAAGCACCTCCAAAGCCCAAGTTGCAAAGGAAAACATGGCTAAATCCCACTGTACTGCGAAAACCTGCTTGGTAGGGAAAAGAAGCGCAAGGCTGCTTCGTTTCTGCGAGCATGGCTCTTCAGTAGTGCCAAACCTGGAGAGTATTGACGCCATAACTAGGGGTTTGCATCTAATTTTGCACCAAGATGCTGCAAAAGGACCGCAGTCTCGCGGGGAAGTGAATGACGATAGAGGAAATTCAAAAATTCATACAGGATTTCCCTTGCGGATTAAGAACACACACACCCTCTTCAGCTCTACAAGCTCCATGTAATCCCCTGATTTCGGGCCACTTGGCAGCCTCCCGGATGAGCCAGACGTGGCGCCTGAGCGAGCCCAGTCAACGGACATGTCCAGTACTTCTCATGGGTTACAAAAGAGTCCCCTTAGCGCCTTAGTTTCTTAGCAGGGACCATAGGATTCGCCAATCAGAGCAGGGGAATCAGGGGGGAAAAGGCTTGGAGAGTCAAGGAAGTATCCCACAACTTGCTTCTCAATCCAGAAGGTGCCGGGCCCTTTGCCCATGGCTGCACCTTTGTTGTTTAAAAGGAAAGCCAAAAGCGGTGCAGCCATTTTGACACAAGCCCGGATCCTAGGCAAAATGAGAAGAAAAACAACTAGACTTGAGGAAGTCTCTGGCAATCTTGGCCCGAAAGCAGCTTTCTTTCAGGAGCTGCCAAACTTCACCTGGGCGGGTGGAGGCGAAATCCCAAGAAACCCTCTTGCTGCAACAACAGGTTACCCACATGACAGCCATGTCCCAATGTCCCACCTCCCGTGTATTGGACAACGCACATTCTCCCCCCAAACAAACCTCCCGACCAGGCCCTCCAGCTGACCCTCCACCGCATGGTTCACATCCGGCTTCAGCTCCGGAGTACCTCGCAATGCCCGGCCCCCTGGCCCTGACATCTCTTGAAAGGGATGCACAAGAGTTAGCCCCAAATTTTGGTGCCCTCCTTTTCAGGTGCCACTTTGATTGTCAGAACCAAACTGCGAGGGATCCCCCGAAATAAAACGGACATCCGCGAGGTCGGGTACCAACTGCCATCCAGACCCGGCCCGGATTCCGCACCCCGCACCCCCGGCCTTCCGCACTCCTCTCGAGGCCCCATGGGTCAACCCTCGGAAGCGAACAGGACACGAAACACGGAGGCCGTGGGCCAGGAGGAAGCCACCCCTCTTGGCCCCAGAAGATCTCCCTCTTGGGTTTTCATCCAAGGGTTCTGAGATCTCCTTTCCTTGAGGGATGCCGATGTCTCTCCTTGGGGTGAAACTTGGACTCGGAAAACTGGGGGCGCCGTTGGCACCAATTCGGTGGGTGGGTCCAACTTGGTAAAAGTCTGGCTTGGCTCTGGGTTTTCGGATGTCATGGGCCCAGAGCCCTGCCGAAATGAACTCGAATCCACAAGTGCATTCACTACAGCCAAAAAGGGAGCCACTCAAACCCAAGGGGGCATGCCCTCCAAAAGACAGGATTCCTTAAAGGACACATCCCAAACTACCTGCTTTGAAGGGGAATCAATCCTCTAAACCAGCCGAAAGATCTCAAGGCAGCTCCATGCTTCAAGCGACCCTGAATAAGACACCACCGACAAAACCTCCAGAAATCCAAGGCCCCGGCGCCGGCTCCTGGTGGGGAAAAAGGGGAAGCCGACCTCCTTGTTTCGGGGTGAAAAGTTGAAGTCTGGCGCCTGTGGTTATATATATATATATATATATATGTTTCGCTCAGGTGCGTGACATGTAGCAACCGGAGGCACGGAAAACCGTGGATGACCAGAGCCTCTTTCGTAGCTCTCGGAGCTCATCCGAGAGCCAGTTGATCCTCTTGGCTTAATATATTTCTCTATCCCACACCGGGTTAATCCTATAGACCCAACCATTAGCAATCATTAGAGTCTCCAAAGTGATAGTGACAGAACGGGAATTAGGTTCCTTCGCCTGTGAGTGAATCCCATAGATTGTTGGCTCTTGAAAGCTAGTGGCAACATTTAATAAAATCCCAAGCTGATAATGTTATTAAAGAAAGGACAAGCTGATACCACTCCAAATGATACAACATCAAAGGTTGGGATATTAATGGCCATTAATCATCATAGCAGAAGCTTCGCACCACTTTTGCCTGCTAGATAGCCTCCTTGGTCGCAGAAGGAATCCTACACATGAGTCTGTTCTTGTTGGTGGGCCCCTTTTGGCTTCAAAGGCAAAAAGGGAAAACGCTAGGTTCCAATGGGACGACTGAGTGAGCCACTTGGAGTACATGCACCTGAACCAAATGCATCCCGTCACTCGGGCTGTCACTCAGCTTACTCGCGCACGGGAAATCTCGCTCTCTCTCTCCCTCTTTCGCTCCGGATCATGGCTTGAAAAAGCAAAGTGAGCATGCCGCCCATTCGCTGGGAGCCGAATTCGTCCCAGAGGGGGGGTTAGTTTGTCAGGCAGAGCCCATCCACAGGCCTCCCCGCGAGCCCAGCTCTCCTGAAGTGCAGGAAAGTGTAGACGTGTCTAAAGCTTGATTCCTTGCGTTCTTTCAACCATCGTTCTCTTCAAAAAACCAGCCTATCCCTCCTTTGGCACGCTGCAAGGGCCAACAAAATGATCCACTAGGAATTAGGAAACAACAATCTGATAGTCCAACATCAAAGCAAAGAGCAAAGCACAGGGGCACATGGCATGTCAAGCTCTTGTTTGGATGCAAACAAGCGATAATGTAGTTAAGCGGATGATCAAAGGGGACAGCTGTCAAAGAAGCCCCATGTGAGCGTGGGATGGTTTGCGACCTGCGCAGCACTTGGATGAATTGAAACAGAACATCCACATGAGTGAAGATGGAAAGAATTCGCAATGCTGCGCGGGCTTTGGGTGGTTCGTCCGGTCCGCTACTCAGGACTCCATGCCTGAGATCAAGCTGGAGAATAGAGCCTGTTTCCTATTGAGGCATGTCCGGAGACCAAACACAGGAACTGCTCGTTTCTCGGGAAGCGGCATCAAGAAACTCGTTCGAGCTTGCGCCCTTCCCCATTGCCATCCAAATAGAAGGTTTCCTTGATCCCCCACACGTCGAGCTAAATCAAAGGTTCCCAGTTCCGCACAGTCCTGGGAGCCTGTGATGATTGGCACGCGCAGCATCTGGGAGGTGTTCATGCCTTGGCCATCCAACAGCTCGCTCGCGGCGCGTGCACGCGTCACGCATTTGCCACGGGGTGGACGGGTGGCCAAAGTTCTGATTCAGGTACCACTTAGCGCAGTTGAGTGTCATGGGAACCGGAAACTCACTGTTCTCCGCTGCCACCGATCATGTTATCACCCTTCTGCAAGGCTGCCCTCTGCATATGGAGGGCAACACTCAGAAAAGAACGTGGGGAAATTTGACAAATCAAAGAAACAGAAAAATCAAACACAGCGCCAAAGGAAAAACACCTTGCTCCGAATCTCCGAAACGGCGGCTCTTATCGGACGAAGACGAGCGGCTCTCAAAGTCAGAGCCATAGGTCCTCGCAGCCTCCATGTGGGTCCACCTGAGCCAGAACCCATCGGGTCCCAAACTCCAGGATAACCCCTCTGGATGGACGAAATCTGTTTCGCACAAGAGACCCTGGAATGATGACTCACAAGTAAATGCAGCAATGGTTTCAACCATAGTTTCAAAGCGGCGCAGGATTCCATCCATCCACATTCGGAGGCGTTGCGAAGGGTCGGCCTTGCTTCATACCACCTTTCCTCAGTCCGAAAATTAGCCGAGCTTGTCAACCAGGCTGCCCAGTTCTGAGTGCCATGGCACTTCCTGATGGTTGGCTCCTTTGTGCCAGTTTCAGCACTCAACGGAAGTGCCTGTTCCCAATCCCTGGAACCCAAACTTCCAAAACCACAAGTCTCAGTCCCCTGAAGAAAATCTGAAGACAGGGTCATACAAGTCAACTGATTAGGGCAATCCTCCATTGGTCATTGTCTCCTGTGTTCCTTGTCACAATCAAAAGCTCGTATTCCAGGTACCCCAAAAGCCAAGAAAAATACACAAAACACCCAAAAACCTATTCCTTGCGCGGCAAGACCAAGGCTTCTTCCCCGTTTTTCGCGGCCATAAGCTCCGCGCGAGGGGATGGGGAGCCTCACCAGCTGGGTGAGGATCCGAACCTCCAAAGCCGAGAGTCGCCTCCCTCACCCTCTGAGACTCTGCCTTACCCTTTCTAGAACCGGGTTCAGCTTGTAGGCAAACAAGCTATAGTCAAAATGTTACACACAAAAAACACCGCAAAGAAGAAAAGAAGACGAGAACGGGCGCCCGAGGAGCGCTCCATGCCGGGGCCTTGTAGGCCTGGGCTGCCACAAAGGCGTGGAGCCCGAACCACAGCGCCAGGAAGAGGTACCTCTCGCCCCAGCCGCCGAGCGGCCCCGAGCGGCCGGGGGGATCGGGGGGGGGGGGGGGGTCGATCCAAGGCCCGGATCGGCGTGGCTTTTCCTTTTTTGTTTTTAAGCAGGGGGAGGGGAGGGAGGGGGGAGGGGTGGAGGCCTGAAACTGGGCTCTTTCGGCTTTTTTCGGCCTCCCTGCCAACCAAAAAAAGCTCCCGCTGCTTCTTTTGTTGAGACTTGACGCCAACAAAAGGGATTCCAGCTTTTTTGGTCGGAAACTCCCACTCGGTGTTCTTTGTTGGGACCGGGCCTTATCTTGGGTTCGTCTCAAAATGGTGCACCCTTCAAAATGGGCCGAAACTCCCATTGGTGTGCAAACGCCAAGCTCTGTGGGCTCATGATGTCCAGCAGCTTCCTTGCTGCTCACTTGGCGCGAAACTTGGCCCAAATGGAAGTCTGGAAAACATGCAAAATGGGTGGGGATATCTTCTGGCTCTTTTGATTCAACGCTTGAAACAACAGCACTGCAGAGTCAACGGTCCATGTGTCGGTCGGCAGAGGAAACCACGAGCTTGGCGCGATCTTGTCCACCCGAGCGACGAGCGGACTCCCACGGGCACGAGATGCAGCTGCAAATCGCCAGGACCTCAATGACAAATTGCCATGCCCCACTCCGTTGGACGTTCAGCTGAAAGGGGGGAATATACTTCAAGGAAGAGGTGCATGCTCGATGGCTTGCAGAAAAATCCTCGCAATTAGATGGGAACTAGTAACTAGGTGTTGGTCCCTTTGTCGGTCCATTGATGCGACAAAGCCAGGCTCCACTAACTCTGGCAACCCAAACCCAAAAACCTCGATCACAGCGAAGCGCAGGGAGATTTTGAGACCTCGCCTCAAAGCACTCCTCCGAAATACTAGTGAAACATCGCCCTCCACACATCTTCCGCAGCATCGGGCAGGTTCGGTCGCTTCAGCGGCATCCTGGAGTTCTGGGGGCCTTCTCGCGCCCGCGACCCGGGCTTCGAGCCGGCTTTGGCGCGCGCCGTCACCTCCTGAGCGCTTTGGGAGTGCAGCGCGCGCACCCGGGACCCGTCCCCTCCGAACTTGGCGCTGCCCCAGGCCACCACGCCCCCATCCGACAGCAGCACGGCGAAGGCCTGGGCCGTGGCCGCCACCTGCCGCGCCTGCAAGAAGCAAGCGGAGCCACTTGCTCGAGCTTTGGAAACCAAAAGTCATTTCATTCAGAAAAGCCACGGGCTGTCTTAGTGAGGTCCCAGCTCTCCGGCTTTCAAGCGAACGCCTCTCAGAAGACCCAGCCCTGGCCCCCGCCTGGCGCACGTGGGGCGCCAGGTGCTTCCCGTCCCCGCCGCCCCTCTGGGAGCCCCAGGGCACCACTCGCCCGTCCGCCAGCAGCGCGCAGAAAGCGCCCCGCGCCGCCGCGACCTGCGCCACGGGGGCCCCGTTCAGCAGCGCGCGGCGGCAGTCCCCGCCCTGCGAGGGGTCGCCCCAGCAGACCACCCGGCCGTCCCGGAGCAACGCGCAGAAGGCGCCGGAGGTGGCCTTCACGCTTGAACAAATTCAAGGACTTCTTGGATGCCAACATGCCACCACTCAATGCTCCCAACCTCTGCGTATCTCCACTTTCTGCCCTTTTGGAAAACAAACTCCAGCATCCCCCAGCACCCAAAAGGCGCAATCCCATCGCCTGCACACACTGCACCTCCGCATTCGCCGGGAATTTGGCGCCAGAGGCGTCACCCCCGTGGGCTTCTGAGCCCCAGGCCACCACTCGGCCATCCACAAGCAACGCACAGAAGGCGTGCGCGGAGGCCTGCACTGCCACCACCTCTCAGGGATTTGCAGCGTTAAAGCGACTGTTTCCCACCGCCTGGCAGGGATCCGGATATCCTTGCAATCCCAATCCTGTCGGAGCTGCTCCTCCACCCCGCTGCTGTCCCCTCCGCTGCGAGCGCTTCCCCAGGCCACCGCAGAGCCATCGCCCAACAACGCCACGAAGGCGCCGCGCGAGGCCTGAACTGCGCGCACGTCCACCAGCCGCGCTTGGACGTGTGGCGGGCAGTCCCCGCCCTTCTCCTCAGCTCTTATACAAAGGCACATCACAAACCTCCACTACCTGCTTCCGGAAAGGATCCATCAACGCGCTCAACAGCACCCAACTCCCCAAACCCCATTCGCTTCACTCCAAGGTGCCGGGTCCCCCCAGGCCACCACCGTCCCATCCGCCAGCGCTGCAAAGGCCCCCTCCGTCGCCTGCACCTGCCGCGCCGCCAGCGCCGCCTGCGCCGGCGCCTGCGCAGCCGGGCCTTGGCCCCAGGCCACCACCCCACGCGTCGTCAACGCGCAGAAGGCGCCGCGGCAGCTTTGGATGGCCTCCACTCCCACCAGGTCCGCCTGCACCTGGTGGGTAGAGCAATATAGATGGATACCGTGCAACAAAAACCTTCCTTTCCCTGGCTCCCCCAACCCTGACACAAGTTTGTCTGGCCTGGGAGCTGTCGCCCCCATAGAGCGGGTGACCCCAGGTCACCACTTCCCCAGTCTCCAAAATCGCCGCAAAGGCGGCGCTGGAGGACTGAATGCATTTGGTACCCCGGAGCCGGTCCTGGGATCCGAAGCCTAAGAAAAGTAAAAAAACTGGGGCTTCCCATTAACAAAAGGAGTCGAGGGACCCTCAAGAAACGCGAACAGTTGGAGGGAGGCTTGCCGCAAGGCCGGAAGGGGACTTGGGAAGAGCACGGTCTTCCGGCGAAGCGCAAGCTGCTGGAACAGGAAACTTCCATTCTGCCAAGTAATGGAAGGTGTCATGGCGAATCCCTCGTTGTCGATGGTTTGGGCTTTCAAAGTCAAGCTTGGACATTGTGACAAGTGCAGCGAGACCTCCATGCGGTTTGTTTGGGGAACTGCTCCTTGCTTTGCCTTTCGGCTCAGGTTAGTTGGCGGCTATTCTTTCACCGGATCTGGCGCTCGTACCGCAGCGAACAGCCAATTTGCGAAAGCGCAAATTTTGGCTACCTGCGGCAACTTATGATCCAAAGTGCTACAAGACTTCTTGGGTGACGTCTAAAGGGAACAAGGAACCCTGTTGCACGGGAAGCCTCCCAATATGAGACAAAAAATCGAGCGATGTTGAACCGGTCTGGAAGAGGCCCTGAAACAACAACGCTAGCGAGACGCCCGCCAACTAGGTATTGCTGTGTGCTCTTTGAAGTTCACAGGCCCTCACACACCAAGCTGGCCCCCAAGGTGAACGCGCTACTTCTGATTCTCAGCCCCTGAAAGTCACATTTCCGAATTTCCCACAAGGCAGGAATTTCAAAAGCTGTCATGGTCCTTTTGTCACGTCTCCGTCCTTCGAACATGAGCTTGAGGCACGAAATGAGTGATTGAATAAACAAAAATAGGCATCCCCGGCATTGAACCAAATCCATTCCCGGAGTTCTCCGGAACTTCCCCGGAGCAGTCCTGCACCTCGCTGCAGTCCCCACCGAAGTTGGGGTGACCCCAGGCCAGGACGCCTCGCGTGGTGATCGCCGCAAAGGCGAAGTCTGTGGACTGGACCTCCTAAGTCGGTGACATGAGGCGACGAGCTCAGGTCGCTCAGTTTCGACGGGCCTCACTTCAGTGGTCGCACAGACCGCAACAGACGCCAGCGATCCGAACCGCACGACTTACCTCCGTAGGCCTCCGGATTCATTCACCGAGAAAACTACGGGCGTACTCAAACTCTGGCTGTTCCAAGCTGGGCAACCGCGCTTCGCCAGCCATTTCCATCCCTCTTCCTCAATAAACGCTCGGACTATCACCCAAGCACACCATTCTATATTGACAAATTCTGAAACATGGCTAGATTGAACCCCCTGCAAGGGTTAGTCATAGATTCAGAGCGAACTCAACGCTTCCTACTGCTCTTTCCAACAAAATCGGCAAATGCCGCAAAAAGTGCAAAAACCCACGTTAGAAACCCTCTAAACTAAACCTATAAGTAAAAACCAAACTCCCATCCCTCCCATCCCTCCCATCCCTCCCATCCCTCCCATCCCTCCCATCCCTCCCATCCCTCCCATCCCTCCCATCCCTCCCAGCCCTCCCAGCCCTCCCAGCCCTCCCATCCCATCCCTGCCACTCCCATCCCTGCCACTCCCATCCCTGCCACTCCCATCCCATGCTCCACCTGCACATCCGCCCGCACCCTGCCCGAGATCTCGCCCCAGCTCACCGCGAAGCCCTTGCCGGAGCCGAGGCCGCCGGCAAGGGCGAAGGCGCCCAGGGAGGCCCGCAGGAAGCTGCAGCACGCCACGCAGGCCACGCAGTCTCCCTCCTATAGGCAGCCTATGGCTCTATTTTTGGTACAGGGCTTTGACCCACACATGCGGTCTTTGCAAGCGGAGGTGTGTTTGGGGATGGGTATTGCCGTCAAAGTTAGCAAGAGCGCTGTTCTTGCCATAGCAAGGGCTAGACTGCTGGCAGTAAGTTGCAGTGTTGTAACCGCTGCACTCGAAATCGCACCAAGCACCCGCCCCCCCCTCCATTCCTCCTCCACCTGACAACCTCTTGCAACTTGTGTAAAGAGGTGAGAGAAAGAAGGAAAAAACGACTTCCTCCCCCATCCCGCCATCCCGCCATTCGCCCGTCCCCCCGCCCCGTCCTGCACGCCGTTCTGCCGCAGGGTGCCGCTCTCCAGCAGCCCACGGCCGCCCGCCGCCAGGCGCACTGGCAGGCGCCACTCCGCCAGGCACCGCGCCACGCAGCTCTCCACGGAGCTGTCCACGGCCACCTCCAGGGACAGGCCGCTGGCCAGGCACAGCACGCAGCACATCCGCGAGGGAAAAGGTTTTTGAGTCGTCTGGCTGATTTCTGAGCCGTTTCTTCAATTCTCCAAAAGGTTGTTGTTTTTGGTTCAATCGTTTAGACCTTATTTGTTCAATTGTCCAAAAGGAGGGGGGAAGCTGTCTTTTTATGTCTTTGGTTCAATTCACAAGAAAGACACACAAGTGAGCGACAATGCTTTCGTGCGCTTTGCTTGCAAATCAAGGGTGTTCTCAGGTGAGATCGGAGGCTTCGAGCAGAGTTCCCGGCTGCCAAGAGACAAAGAAACTGTGAGGGCCTCGTTGGGCTCCCGAAACGAAAACACGGAGTCTGCATTTGCTGGCATTTCAAACAGGGGTGATCAATGTCCTTCTCGTGCTCATTGCTTTTAATCCAGATTTCCCCGAAATGGATACACAGTACTTGAACATCGGTGGACCATGCTTCTATCTTGGTCTTGCCAGTAGCTGCGGAGCCCTGCATAGCGACAAGGCCCGATTTCTCCCGTGAATTCCAGTGGAAAGTGCGCCCAGGGGGAACTACAGGAAGTTCGCCAAAGCATTCCGCAAAGATCGGGGCGTCTCACCTGCATGGGTCACGCAGTTCTCTTCCCGCATGGGAATGAAAGGCTGATTCCCTGGGCCCAAAGACGGAAAGCAAAAGGAATTTGACGGAATGCATTTCACGGAATGCAAGAGTCCAACGCCATCTTATTGTCCCCACGTAAGCTGCTCCGGTTGTCCAAAAGTAAACCAGATTTCTGGTACCAAACTTTGACAATCCTTGCATGTTCGATGTCCCTCCCACTTGCCCAGCTCTCGCCATGGGTCCCCGGCCCCTGCAGCCACCATCCAAGGTGGAGCCCCGGGTGGGATTCGCCCCTGCAGAAGCTCGGTCAAAAAGATCTTCCAAAACCTAGACTTTGCCCTTCAAGGATTCCCTATGCGAGGATGCAATTCTTACACTCTTACACACGAAATACGGGTAGCCCTCCAAGTGGGGTAGCCCTCCAAGTGGGGTAGCCCTCCAAATGGGGTAACCTCCAAATGGGGTGGTGTCCTACAAAAACCAAAAACCGTGGCCCACCTAACCAGGATCCCATCCTTGCAAAGGCAGGTGGTCGCGCCGGTGAGCTCGATGGCGATGACCAAAAGGTACACCTGGAAGGAGAAAAGCAGAACAACAGCGAGAAGTTCCTCACATCGTCACCTGGCCATGGGGCATAACCTATGGCTCCATTTGGGGTGGATGAACATCCATTTGCCACCTATTTTGATGTTCACCAGGGTACAGGGCTTTGACCCACAGCCACGTGTGAACTTGCGGGGACAAGTGTGGACACACCTGGAGTCGTTTTTTGAGGGCACCCTCTTTGGGAAAGGAAACACATGGACACCACAATTTGTTCGGGGTCTCCCTATTGTGACACGCCCATATTCTCGCACATCCCCAACGTTGTGACTCCAACATCCCTGCGACCCAGGACCAGGAACGCCGGCCGCCGGTTCCCTGCGTCAACCCGTCCCCCGGACCTCCATCTTCTTGGGAATGAGCCTGCGGGCTCAAGCAGCACTCACCGTCGAGTGGAAGCAAAGAATTCCGTCCAATCGTCCCCTTTTAAATGTCGCCCGACCGAAAGGGGCTTCATCCCAACCTGGCCAAACAAGTGCCGCTGAAATCCACCAACTCCAAGAAACATGTCAGCGCCCCTGCCATACCAGCACCCCTGCCATACCTAAAGGCATGGATATGTTTGCTTGTCTCGCAGGGGCCCCGGCTGCACAGCGTCCCGCACATCACGGCGCCAGAGGTCAACCTGCTTGAGGCGCATCTCCTGATGTCGTTCACGAAAGCGGTGCTCCCTCATCGTGCCAGAGACTTGCGGAATTCACGTCTCACGCGGTTCTTGTTCGTGTCAAGTTGAGGCAGCATGAAAAGTTGCGGACGCTTTGCCTTGTGTCGGTGCCACTACGAGTCGGAGCAGAAGCTCAGTGGCTTTGACAAGTGAGGGCGTGCCATGCATCCTTGGTCTCTTGAGCTGATTAGATGAAGTGAATGGAGGATTCTCCCACAGAGATGGAGATTGTCACCTGTCGGCACATCAGCCAATCGAGTTGTTGGTTGGCGCTTGCGATCCCCCCCTTGACACTCTCCTTTTCTTGAAGCTATGATGACCTATATCTAGTCTAATCGAAGGGTGACACCATTCTAAGCACGTCATGTCGAGAGACGAGTGACACTGCTAGCGACATGACTTTTGCATGTGACACCGCTAGCCGCAGCACCGAGCTAGGCCTTAAGGCTGAGGCCGTGCTGTGAAGCCATGAGGTCGGCCACCTTCTCGCCAATCATGGCACCTGGCGAGACCCAAGCTGACCTTTCGGCTGGTGTTTTTTGTTTGTGTTCCAAAAGGTCCAAAGGTCCAAAAAGATGAAAACATGCGAAAAGGTTGAAGCGTTGGCCAAGGCACAAGCTGCTTGGGTGTTGCCAGACACCGGCTCCGGCATGACGCTGCCATCCGCCACCCGCAGACCCTCCAAGTGGAAGACGCGACACTCGGCATCCACCACCCGTCCCATGGCACAGCTGGAGACCGGATGGTAGATGGTGGTGGCGAAGGATCGAATCCAGGCTTCCCACAGGGCCTCGGAACCCAGGTCGCTCCCATAGCGCTTGGACAACGCTTTGGGGATCAACACCTCGGCATCGCCAAAGCTGGGCTGCTCGACAATCCGCATGGCCTCCTTGCAAATGGCCAGGTACATGCGAAGGTCCGCTTCTTCTGCCAAGTAGTTGTGATTCACTTCCACGTCACTCCCGGCCAAGCGAACTTCTCCGCGGCTCAAGGGCTGGTTCAAGGTCGCCACCATGTTGCAACTGGGCACTTCCGGGTTGAAAAAGGCGTCCAGCCGGAAGTTCTCCTCGTTGAAATCCGCGTAATTCAAACACTTCGCCCAAAGGTCTGGAACATAGGCAGTGCAACCAAAAGAGATCTGACCGTCTTGAACGGCACTCACAGGATGCTGACCACTGCTGTAAAACGCGCTGGCTTCATAAAGGCTTGTTGCAGCCAGGCCCTCTCCTGTTTGCATGTACCTTTTGAAGCCTTCCCCCTCAGGAGCCAACTCTGAGAGCAACTGAGTGAAGGTTGTCCCAACGCCAGAGATCGGAATCAAAAGAAGCATGTGATCCGTCAAGTTCTTGCCAACCTCGGGCAAGTCAAGCCTTGTTTCAATCCCGGCCTCTGCAAGCTCCTTTCTTGGCCCAATGCCAGACCGCAAGAGGAGGCCAGGACTGGCATAGGAACCACCAGCGACCACAACTTCCTTTGTTGCAAACACCTCCTGCTTGCCTCCTGCTTCGTCGAGGTACTCTACTCCCACTGCCCGCTTTCCTTCCAGCAACACGCGTTGAGCCAACGACTGGCAGCGAACCGTCAAATTGGGGCGCTTGCCCATATGCGGCTCCAAAAAGGCAGTGCTGATCGAGCACCGCCGGCCATTTTGGATGGTGAACTGATGTGGGCTGACCGCGCCCTTTCCCGCGTCCGTTTCTTGGGCTCTTGCCTCGGAGTTGTAGTCGCAGAGGGTGTAGCCCTCAGCTTGCGCAGCCTGCACAAAGGTGGACACGCAGTCCAGCTGCTGGCTTCGGTGGCTCACGGCCCAGGGGCCCTCAAAGCCATGCGTGTCTTTGTCCACGAGGCCGCTCGCCGAGCTCGCGAAGCCTTCGCTCTTCTTGAAATACGGCAACACCTCCCCCCAGCTCCATCCATCTGCACCCTTGGAAGCCCAGGAATCGTAGTCCCTTGGATCCCCACGCACATATGCCATGTAATTGTTGGCGGTTGAGCCGCCCAACATCTTGCCACTCGGCAGCTTCACCTTTCCTCCAACCAAGCCTTTCCCACCACCGCCCCCCGGTGATTGCCTCGCCCAATCAACGGCTGTGCCCTGCAGATTGCCACAAGCGGCCGGGATGAAGCTCTCAGGAGGCGCAGGGGGCCCAGCCTCCAGAAGGAGAACCTTTGCAGCGGAATCTTCGCTCAAGCGCGATGCGATCACGGCCCCTGCAGCCCCAGCCCCAACCACTATGAAGTCGAAGGTGCTTGAGGTGCTTGAAGCGGCCCGAAGGCCAGTGCGTGCCCTCAAAAGAGGGGAAGCCCCAAGACGGAGCATCAGGCCAAACGAGCTGGAGCTATTGCTTGCTCACATATGACCTTCGCCAAAAGTCTTGAGCAATGCATCGACAAGTGTGTGTGTGTGTGTGTGTGTGTGTGTGTGTGTGTGTGTGTGTGTGTGTGTGTGTGTGTGTGTGTGTGTGTGTGTGTGTGTGTGTGTGTGTGTGTGTGTGTGTGTGTGTGTGTGTGTGTGTGTGTGTGTGTGTGTGTGTGTGTGTGTGTGTGTGTGTGTGTGTGTGTGTGTGTGTGTGTGTGTGTGTGTGTGTGTGTGTGTGTGTGTGTGTGTGTGTGTGTGTGTGTGTGTGTGTGTGTGTGTGTGTGTGTGTGTGTGTGTGTGTGTGTGTGTGTGTGTGTGTGTGTGTGTGTGTGTGTGTGTGTGTGTGTGTGTGTGTGTGTGTGTGTGTGTGTGTGTGTGTGTGTGTGTGTGTGAGTGTGTGTGTGTGTGTGTGTGTGTGTGTGTGTGTGTGTGTGTGTGTGTGTGTGTGTGTGTGTGTGTGTGTGTGTGTGTGTGTGTGTGTGTGTGTGTGTGTGTGTGTGTGTGTGTGTGTGTGTGTGTGTGTGTGTGTGTGTGTGAGGGTGTGAGTGTGTGTGTGTGTGTGTGTGTGTGTGTGTGTGTGTGTGTGTGTGTGTGTGTGTGCGTGTGTGCGTGTGCGCGTGTGCGCGTGTGCGCGTGTGCGCGGGTGCGCGGGTGCGCGGGTGCGCGGGTGCGCGGGTGCGCG